TAGGGATGTCAACCATCCGGTGTGACAAACTTCAAGGCGCCACATCGTCTCTTTCTTTTGTCATTCGTGATGGGTACCAACACAGAATTTTTTCTTTCTGGAGGTCATCATGTTCCCGGGGAACTCAGAGAACAAAGTTGTCTTTTCACAGCTGGGAGATAAACATAAGCAAGAGTCATAGAACCAGCAGATCGTGTATTTTGTGAAAGTGAGAGGTGCTTAATCATTTAGGCTATGTGCAGGCTAGAATGTATTCACAGAGACTAGCGAGTCATAGGGAGTCAGGGTCATAGTTACAATATTGCTTCCTTTCCCCAAGATGGCTTCCCTCATGTTAACTTAAGATCTAGCTGTTGCAATACCCCTCCCTCCTCTTGTTCCCTTGCCCTCCTCCCCTTCTTTGCCTTTGGAAGGTTCCATGCCGCTATGGACTTCCTCACGTGCAGACCTGTCAAACTGGACGCCGAATAACACTCGTTGTGTGATGCTGCCACCTTATGATCGACCATCTTCCTTGATCTGCACCGAAATCCCTGAACTCACCACAGGCACAACAGGACTGCATTTGCTAGCTTTTGTTGTCTATTCTGGCTGGAAGATGAGTTGTGAATGGCAGTGACGAGTGTCACTTCCAGGATGGAGCACTGGATTCTAAGAACTCCTTCCTCCCCGGCCTGAGCTCTCTCTTTCCCCTGACACAGTGACCAGCAATGTGTGAGAGCGTGGCTGCCCCATTGGTCTGGATGCCTGAGTGGCAAAGATGAACGGAGCACCCTGCCAGCTGTCTCTCCCATACCTGGCTCCAGGCACCCCTCCTAGGAACCAATCAATGTTACCATCCTTTTGTGCACCTGTCTCAGTCAACTCCGGCTTTTATAACAAAGTGTCATAGACTGGGAGTATTGAACAACAGACCCTATTTTTCACAGTTCTGGAGGCTGGGCAGTCTGAGATCAGAGGGCCAGCATCGTTCTGGAGAAAGCCCTCTTCCTGGCTTGCAGACAGCTGCCCCCTTGCTGTATCCTCATGGGGGAAGGAGAGAGAGAGAGAGGAAGGCAGAGGGAGATCTCTGGTCACTTTTTATAAGGGTGCTAATCCCATGATGGGGGCTACGCCTTCATGACCTCATCTAAACCTTATTACCTCCCAAAGGCCCCACCTCCCAATACCAGCACACTGGGGGTTACAGCTTCAACATAAGAATTTTGTGGAGAAACTGACATTCAGCCCATAACAGCATCCTTCTGGAGATCTTGTAGCCATTGCTTATTTTTCAAGAGCTATGGAAAGTTCATGCCATCGTAAGGGGGTGGCTCTGCTATGGCATTCTGGAACCCTTTCACATATCCACAGTCAGAGGCTTCAACTGCAGCTAATCTGAGTCTCGGCAGAATGCCTTCTGATCCTCCTGGAACACGAGAACATGAGGGGCTCCCAAGGAGCTGCTATGAGGCCATCTCCCACTCACATTGCTATCTCCCCTGGGAGGCTGTCATGAGACAGTTTCTTGTCACCTCTTGGGTTCTGATAAGGTGTGAGGCTTCCTGCCTTGCTCCCCTCAGATTGGAGCTGCAGAGTATAAAAACGCTTAGCTGCAATTTAGATTTGACTCTTGTTGTATGGTGGAAAGATATATGATCTTTGTCCCTGGTCCTAGCACAGAGCTCTTAAAACCCTTGTAATTTCCTGAGTGATAAGAATGATAGGAGCATCTTTGGCTCTAACTAGCCTGCTCTTGGTAGCTTCAGGATGGGGGCTGGTCATCAGAAAGACCAAGCCTTGATTAGAAACTTGGAACTGTCAGCACCCCTCGCCCCAACCTCCAGAGAAGGGAGAGGGGAGGAAATTGAACTGATCACCAACAGCCAATAATTTAGTCAATCATGCCCATGTAATGGAACGTCCATAAAACCTGCAAGGTTCCTCCATGTTGTAGCGTCTATCAGTACTTCACTTCCTTTTATTGCTCAACAATATTTCACTGTATGTATTTACCACATTTTGTTTATCCATTCACCTGCCGATGGACACCTGGGGTGCTTCCACTTCTTATCTATTGTGAATAATGCTGCTATAAACATGGGTGTACAAATATTTCTTGGAGACTCTCATTTCAACTCTTTTGAATATATACACAGAAGAGGAATTGCTGGATAATAATTAATTTAATCTGATTTTTGGTTTCTGTGCAGTTCCAGGGGCAGGTGGATGTGAATTAGTTTGCTTCTTGGCCACCTGTGCTGTAGGAACACATCTGTTTGTTCTCCAGTTTCCAACTTTATCGACATTTCTTGCCTTCTATTAGTGCCTCTCTCACACTTTTTTTTTTCCTGAGGAAGATTCTCGCTGAGCTAACATCTGTGCCAACCCTCCTCTATGTTTTTGTATGTGGGTCACCTCCACAGCGTGGCTAGTGAGTGGAATAGGTCCATACCCGGGATCTGAACCAGCAAACCTGGGCTGCCAAAGCGGAGCACACGGAACTTTAACCATTCGGCCACGGAGCTGGGCCCTCCTCTCTCATACTTTTATTCCTTCGAATTTTATCTCCTCTTCATAAATCCCCTTACTGTCTTTTACTGAGGTTTTTTTTTAAAGATTGGCACCTGGGCTAACAACTGTTGTCAATCTTTTTTCTTTTTTTTCCTGCTTTATCTCCCCAAACCCCCCCTGTACATAGTTGTATATCTTAGTTGCTGGTCCTTCTAGCTGTGGGATGTGGGACGCCACCTGAACGTGGCCTGATGAGCGGTGGCATGTCCGCGCCCAGGATCCGAACCCTGGGCTGCTGCAGTGGAGCACGCCAACTTAACCACTCTGCCACGGAGCCGGCCCCTTATTGAGGTTTGAAAAGAAAGTGTTTGTTCCATCTGCACGTCTATGTGAAAATCTTTATATTTGTCCTTAAATTCATCCCTCCCAAACTCTAAGCTTTAGAAGAGTTCACTCTTTCTTTAAACTTACTTTTTCTCATCCCACAGCACCTCACTTAAAATTTCTAAAAGCTTAAAAATTTAAAGACATTTAAAGTAATAAAATTAACATATCAATTGCAGCAAATTTATAAAACACACATAAGCAAAATGGAAAAAAAATTATTGACCCCAGTTCCACTACTCAGAGAATAGTACTTTAAAAATACTAGATTATAACTTTCCAGATTTTTCCACGTGCATGTCAGCTCTTGGCCATCATCTGAAACCACCACCTAGGTTATCTGTACATTCCCTCTACACCTCAACCAGATGTGGAACACGGCTCCCCGGGTTCTCCTAAAGAATTCCTTTCCACCAGAGATTTAATAAAGAGGGTGATTTTACTGAAGATTTCATAGACGATATTGAGGAGACAGTCTACATGATGTCCTCCACAGGAAGCAACTTATAAATCCATCACAGACATTACTCTTCTTCAAATTCCTTTTCTGCCATACTGCTGAGGGGGAAGCAGAAATTTCCCCCTTTATCCCTCTTGAGTTCTTGTGGCTGGACTAATAATAAACCAGATACAAGACCAGGTTAACAGGAGAAAAACCAATTTAATACATACGTATGGGAGACCATAAAAATGATGCCCAGAGAGAGAACAAAGCAGGCAGTATATATATCTTTTTACATAAAGAAACAATAGGGGCCGGCCCCGTGGCACAGCAGTTAAGTTCGCGCGTTCCGCTTCGCTGGCCTGGGGTTCGCCAGTTCGAATCCGGGTGCGGACAAGGCACCGCTTGTCAAGCCATGCTGTGGCAGGCATCCCACATATAAAGTAGAGGAAGATGGGCATGGATGTTAGCTCAGGGCTAATTTTCCTCAAAAAAAAAAAAAAAGAAAAGAAAAAAAGAAAAGAAACAATAAATTTGTGAGGATTTGACAAGACAAAGGGGGCTGGCTCCGTGGCCGAGTGGTTAAGTTCACTCACTCTGCTTTGGTGGCCCAGGGTTCTGTCGGTTCGGATCCTGGGTGCAGACCTAGCACCGATTCATCAAGCCACGCTGGGGCGGTGTCCCAAATACCACAACTAGAGGGACCCACAACTAAAATATACAACTATGTACTGGGGGACTTTGGGAAGAAGAAGAAGATGAAGAAAAAAAAGAAGATTGGCAACAGATGTTAGCTCAGGTACCTATCTTTAAACAAACAGACAAAAAAAGAAACGTAGGTTTGTGGTACATAATTAGTGAGGAATGTGAGCAGAGTTTAGGCTTGAGGTAGTAAATTAGTAAAAGTAACAAGATTTGTTTATACAGGCTTCTCGACCTTGAATTTCCTGGCTCTGGTGATAAGGACGTCTCTATCTCCTGGTGTGGGGAGGGTACCTTTCACATGGGAGATTATTTCCTGCTTTCAGGGGAAACAGAGAGCAGGGTCAAAATTTTAAGTCAAAATAAGTAGCTTTAATTCAAAGTAATCAATTTGCCATTGTGCGATATTTTGGGGCACCCTGCCCTGGGCCCCAAAACTGCCAAATGATTCGTTTTTCTTATCTTTTCTTTACAGGGTCTGTTATCTCACTCTCCTAGATTCTCCTTCCTCCTTTTTTTTTTTTTTTTTTAAGACTGGCCCTGAGCTAACATCTGTTGCCAATCTTTTTTCTTCTTCTTCTTTTCCCCAAAGCCTTCTAGTACATAGTTGTATATTCTAGTTGTGGATCCTTCTAGTTCTGCCATGTGGGACATTGCCTCACACATGGCTTGATGAGCGGTGCTAGGTCTGCGCCCAGGATCCGAACCGGCGAAACCCTGGGCCACCGAAGAGGAGTTTGCAAACTGAACGACTCGGCCTCGGGGCCAGCCCCTCCTTCCTCCCTTGATGCCTCTACAACTTCTCATCTCTGAGAACTTGTCATCAGCTCTGTCCCAGCTCCAGCCTCAAATGTTCCCTGGGGTATAACCCAGAAGTTGTCCGTATCACTTCCTCTTATGTCCTGTTGACCAGAAAGACCAACAATTCTTTGTGTGGAAGAAATGTAACTGCTACTCTGGATTGCCATGGGTCCAGCTATATTCTGTCACTGTGTAGAAGGGGCAATGGCTCCTGTGACCCGACTAGCAACTTCTCACATATTTTGCTCTGATTCATGACTATCCCTTAAAAGTGGGTGCTCTGAACTCTTCGAAGAAGGACTCTGTGAGTCAAGCCTGTGGGCGTGTTGCAATAAATAGTCATCGTTTCCTGATTGCAATCAGAAGGAAGAAACTGTGGGTACAAAAGAATAGAGGCTTAAAACTCTGGAGCAAAGCTGTTCACTGCATCTTCTGGAATCAAGAGAACATTTTGACCTACCACAAACAGCAAAACTGAAGAAAGATCTTTAGAAGAGAGAGGTTTGGGGGGGCCACCATGATCCCCCAAATATTGATCCTGTTTTGCGTTGGTAAGTCTGGGGAGAGGGGAGGGGAGGGCCACTGCAGTTGGCAGTGAGTTGGCTATGGACGCTGCTGGAGTTGGTGTGACTTGCGCGGTGGGTGATAAGATCAGATCAATAAGGAAAAATAGAAACTTCCATTTCCCGAATGTACATTAATACGAGGAATGTGTTGGGTGCTTCACACACATTTTCCTCTGTTTTTCAAAATTCAATCATTCCCAAACTTCCCAATGACATTCTGCCCTATGTATGTGACATTGGTATTCTTTCCTACCTGATCTTCTTCTTCAAATTGGCTTGGGTTTTTACATCATTATTTTTATACTTAACTCTATTTTAAAAGAAAATCTGTAAAACAGCTCTATGAAGGTAAAACCAGTATCCCTTATCAAAAATAGAAGGTAATGGTCAGTACCTAGCCAGTGGAGAGAGAAAGTAATACAAATTAAGCTCTAACTAGATGTGGCTGCCTATCTGTTGACACTGAGCCACATTTCTTCCTAGTCTTATTTCTAAGAGATATGAGTGAATGCAAGAAATGAGTCAGAGACCAGCACCTAGCTGTGATATTCTTCTATGTGGTCAAAACGAAGAACTGAGAAGAGAATGACTTTCTCACACAGATTCAATGTTACTTAATCTCGTGTCATTGAATTACCTGAAATAATTTTACATCTCTTAGAAAAATTCTGCAAAATAGTCCTCATCCCTGTATTGCCTGCGAGGAATCTGAGATTGACGGCGGAAGTGACAGACATGCCAAGGCCACTCAGATACTGAGTGGAGATGCTGAATTCAAATTCTGGTCTGCATGGTTCCAAAGACTGTAATTTTCCACTGAGCCATACTAGGAAATTAAAAAGGTCATCATCTGGGGGCTTTGGGGTGGAAATGTTTGGAACGGGACCGAGGGGAATCCTGGTGGGAAAACCTCAGGAAGGTAAGTGAACAGCGAATCCAATGATCTTAGTAGATGTTGGCAATCTTTATTTTTATTTTATTGTGGTCACAATAGTTTATAACATTGTGAAATTTCAGTTGTTCACTAATATTTGTCAGACACCATACAAGTCTGCCCCTTCACCCCTTGTGCCCACCATCCATCCCCCTTCCCCCTGGCAACCACTAAATTGTTTTGTTTGTCCATAAGTTTGTTTATATTCCACATATGAGTGAAATCATGTGGTGTTTGTCTTTCTCCGTCTGGCTTATTTTGCTTAACATAATGCCCTTAAGGGCCACCCATGTGGTTGTGAATGGGATGATTTTTTTTTTTATGGCCGAGTAGTGTTCTGTTGTCTGCATCTACCACATCTTCTTTATCTAATCATTGGTCGACGGGCACTTAGATGGTTTCCACGTCTTGGCTATTGTGAATGATGCTGCAATGAACCTAGAGGTGTGCGTCACTTTGAATTGTTGATTTCAAGTTCTTTGGATAGATACACAGTAGTGGGATAGGTGGGTCGTATGGTATTTCTATTTTTAATTTTTTGAGAAATCTCCATACTGTTTTCCATAGTGGCTGCACCAGCTTGCATCCCCACCTGCAATGGATGAGGGTTCCTTTTTCACCACAATCTCTCCAACATTTGTTGTTTTTTGTCTTGGTGAGTACAGGCATTCTAACAGGCATAAGATGGTATCTAAGTGTAGTTTTGATTTGCATCTCCCTGACGATTAGTGATGTTGAGCATCTTTTCATGTGCCTATTGGCCATCTGTATGTCTTCTTTGGAAAATGTCTGTTCATATCCTCTGCCCACTTTTTGATTGGGTTGTTTGTTTTTTTGTAGTTCATTTGTGAGTTCTTTATATATTATGGAGAGTAACCCTTTATCGGATATATTATTTGCAAATATTTTCTCCCATTTGGTGGGTTGCTTTTTTCATTTTGATCTTGGTTTCCTTTGCCTTCCAGAAGCTCTTTAGTCTGATGAAGTCTCATTGGTTTATTTTTTCTTTTGTTTCCCTTGTCTGAGTAGACATGGTATTTTAAGGCTGATGTCAAAGAGCGTACTGCCTATATTTTCTTCCAGAAGTTTTATGGTTTCAGGTCTTACCTTCAAGTGCTTGGTCCATTTTGAGTCTATTTTTGTGTATGGAGAAAGATAATGGTCTACGTTGATTCTTTTGCATGTGACTGTCCAGTTTTCCCAACATCATTTATTGAAGAGGTTTGCCTTTCTCTGTTGTATGTTCTTGGCTCCTTTGTCAAAGATTAACTGTTCATAGATGTGTGGTTTTATTTCTGGGCTTTCAATTCTGTTCCATTGATCTGTGTGTCTGTTTTTGTACCAGTACCATGATGTTTTGATTACTATAGCTTTGTAATATATTTCGAAGTCAGGGATTGCGATGATGTTGGCAATCTTTTTACGTAAAGGGCCAGATAGTCAAATAGGCTTTGTGGCCACACAGTCTCTGTTGCAAGTACTCAATGCCTGTTAGAATGGCTGTCATCAAAAAGATAAGAGGTAACTGTTGGCAAGGATGTGGAGAAAAGGGAACCCTTGCGCACTGTTGGTGGGAATGTAAATTAGTGCAGCCATTATGGAAACAGTATGGAAGTTCCTCAAAGAATTAAAAACGGAACTACCATATAATCCAGCAATTCTACTTCTGGCCACATATCTGAAGGAAATGAAATTACTATCTCGAAAGACATATCTGTACTCTTATGTTCGTTGTAGCATCATTCACAGTAGCCGAGACATGGAAACCACCTAAGTGTCCATCAATGGATGAACGGATAAAGAAAATGTGGTACACACACACACACACACACACACACACACACAGGAATATTATTCAGCAACGAAAAAGCAGGAAATCCTGCCATTTGCAATGATGTGGATGGACTTTGATGGCACTATGCTAAGTGAGATAAGTCAGACAGAGAAAGACAAATACTGCATGATCTCACTTACATGTGGAATCTAAAAAAGCCACCTCATAGAAACAGACAGTAGAATGGCGCTTACCAGGGGCTTGAGGGGAGGGGGAAATGGGGAGATGTTGGTCAAACAAATTTCCAGTTCTAAGCTAAATAAGTTCTTGGGATCTAATGTACAGTGTGATGACTGTAGTTAACAATATGGTATCATGTACTTGAAGGTTGCCCAAAAAAAGGCCTCAGATATTTCCCAATGTCCCCTGGGGGACAAAATTGTCTCCAGTAGAGAACCACTATTATAAGCTAATTGAGCTAGAATACCTATATTGATGTCTAGGAACACATTTCTTAGGGTCAGTCTCATCTAGATCTGTAAGTACGAGAAAGGTGGGGAACATAGGCTTCACCTTTCCAAGTAATATCAATTTTAGATGTTGGAGATTTATTCTGGAGTACCAAGGAGATTCCTTATGGCCAAGTGGAATGTCAGAGATGCATTTAGGCTGTTCTATCATGGCAGAAAGAAATATCTCAGGGCAAAGGAAATATCTCATGGGTAAGTTTTCAGCAGTTGGATGCCCCTTATCATAAGGTAGGGATCTCCCTCACTCTGTCCCCACCTCTCAGTTGATGTGGATGTGATGATGTTGGGTTGGGAGGGGACGGCCACACATGGGAGGGAATTTGGGAAATCATCATCTCTGGAGCTTCAAAAATCTTTGCAAACAATTCTCTTTACATAAGGCTCAGTCAGTCAACATGTATTTATTGAGCATTTGCCAAAACCCAGGCACTGTTCTAAGCATGGAGGATGTCATCTCTGCCCTCAAGGATTAAGTTCTAGTGACTCCAGATATCTTATGAACCCAAGAGCATCATGCATAATAGGTGTCATTAAAATCTAAGTGTTTTTTTCCCAGCCAGATGGTTTCTGTCATCATTGATGTCTGTCACACTCTAGAAGCCATGGCACCAGGGGAAGGGATGGGTCCTATGACCTCTATAATGTTGACACACTCCAGAGATATCCAAGGTGACACACTTAGGGTGACAGAGGTGATCAGGAGGCAGGTCCTTCTCCTCTCCTCTACCATGAAATCTAGAGGTGACATCACAGGATACGATAGAAGAATAAAGTGGATAAAAGATGGATGCTGGGAAGAAATGGGTAGGTTCTGGGGCAAAATGGCAGGGCCACCCAAAATCCTGGGGGCATTGTGCAGGGAGAGGAACATGGTGGTGAAGTGGGACACTATGAGAAGTGATAGGGAGACCGTGTGGCAGACCCCAGAGATGTCCACGTCCTGATTCCTGGAAGCTGTGGGCACGTTCCTTTACATGGCAAAGGATAGAGTTAAAGTTGCTAACCAATTGACGTTAAACTAGGGAACTTATCCTGGATTATCTGGGTGGTCCCAATGTAATCACAAGGGTCCTGAAAGCAGTAAGAAGAGGTAGAAGAGGAGGTCAGACTCGACCCACCAGTGCTGGTTTTCAAGAGGGAGGAAGGGCCCACAAGCCAAGGGATGCAGGTGGTCTCAGAAGCTGGAAGAGGTAAAGAAATGGATTCTCCCCTGGACCCTCCAGAAGGAACTCAGCCCTGCCAACATCTTCATCTCAGCCAGTGAGACCCGTATTGTTGGATTTCTCTAACCCACAGAACTATAAGACAATAAGTTTGTGGTGTTAAAAGCCACTGCGTTTGTAGCAGCCATAGGGAACTAACATAAGCTGTAAACAGACGCTGATGACAAATGGGTTCCTGGAGAGGAGGCTGGGACTGCTGGCGAATATGATGATAAGGGGTCCATCCTCAGCAAGAGCCCTGGGGAGGGTCCCTCAGGGATGAGGGCAGGTGACGGTGTGGGCTCCAGGCTGATGCCTGTGTCTCATGAGTCGTTCTTTTGCAGGGCTGTGTGTTGGCCAAGGATACAGGAGAAAGGATGGTGAGCGTTTCTTCAATTAAACCCTCCTTGATCCTTCAGCCCCAAAGGCCCCATTTTCCTTTCCCTTCTTTAAATGGGCTCCCTGAGAGCAGGTGAGAGAACCAAACCCAACCCTCCACTCTGCTTCCTTCCAGGCTCACTTCCCAAGCCCTCTCTCAGTGCCTGGCCCAGCTCGGTGGTACCGGCTAAAAGTAATGTGACGCTGCGATGCTGGACTCCTACCAAGGATGTAAACTTTGATCTCAGAAAGGGAGGACACATTGAGTCCTCACAATCACCTGATTCTGCAGAGGGCCTGGCTGAATTTCACCTCACTGATCTGAAAACCAGTCATGCTGGAGAGTACACGTGTCAATACTACAGAAGAGGGAGACCCTACGTAAGTTCACAGCCCAGTGATGTCCTTCTACTGCTGGTGACAGGTGAGGACGGGGCCTCAGCATGGCACGTGGTCTTCCTAGAGACAGGGGATGGTGGAGGAACCAGAGCAAGAGGGGGCGGGGGTCTCACCTCTAGTGCAGTTGGGGAGGAGGAGATGGAGACAGACAGGAAGGGAGCTGACAAACTTGGCTTTATCCAGGGCTGACAGGAGGGAGAATCTCCTTCCTGGAGTCAGAGCAGAAAGACGGTGAGATGAGGCATCTGTCATTCCCCACACTCCATGGGAACCCCCAGCCAGGAGAGCACGGGTGAATGGGGGACCTCAGGCTTCTCCCCACAACCTCAGAGCCTCCCTTCTCTTACAGGTGGTTTATCTAAACCTTCCCTCCAAACCCACCAAAGTGGTAATGTGACCACAGGAGAAAAGGTGACCCTGCAGTGCCGGCTGCCAGATATTTTTCAGGGGTCTGTAAAGTTTGCTCTGCTGAAGGCAGGAACTTCAATGCCCGTCCAGACCCGGAGTCCAAAATGGAAGGAGACAGACTTCTCCCTTCAGAATGTAACAGTCAACGACACTGGAAACTACAGCTGTGTGTACTACCGGACAGAGGATCCTTTCCAGGCCTCAGACCCCAGTGATCACCTTGCGATCTGGGTGACAGGTGAGGTTTCTACCATCGGGAGAACTATAGCTGGATTGTATGCCAGCTAAGGTTCTGGGACCTGGAGTGCACTTTGAGAGAGATTCTGTCCACACAAGACTCCAGGGCTTGGAAAAAACCTTTGAGAACAACTGAGTCAGGTCCAGGATCCTGCGGAATAGTGAACAGGATCTTCGGCTAAGAGAGGGAATGTGGATGGTGGAGAATCACATAAAAGGATGCAGGGCAGGGGGCTCCCCCAAACAGGTGACCAGATATGTTCTGAGGGGGCCAGGCTTGTGGGAAAGATTTATAATACCTGAACCCCACTAGGAAAATAAGATATAGCCACAACGTCATGCATATCTTCTGGGTGGGGGGGGCGGGGGCATTCATTTAGACTAAAGTGTGAATGACTCCTCTTGGAGTCATGCAGAAGGAGGTTCCAGCAAGAAGGCAAAGGAGGAGAGAGAATAAGAAAAGGCCCAGGGAATACCTTTCCCAACAGACTCAGAGACTTCCAGAAAGATCTGCGTTTCACTGTCATTCATGCACCACTGTCCTTGCCTTTTAGCTCCACGGAGTGGAGCTTTCCATTTCCTGCCTAGCCTTTTCTTTCTTTTTTTGAAAAGGATAATATTTTTAAATTGTGTTAAAAATGCATCACAGAAAATGTAGCATCTTAACTATTTTTAAGCGCACAGTTCAGTAGTGTTATGTACATTCCCATTGTTGTGCAACTATTACTTCCATCCGTCTCCAGAACTCTCTTTATCTTGCAGAACTGAAACTCTGTCCCCATTAAACAACAGCTTCTCCTTCCCCCTCCCCTAGTCTCTGGCAACCACCATTCTACTTTCCGTCTCTAGGAATTTGTCTTCTCTAGATACCTCATATAAGCGGGATCATGAGGTACTTGTTGTTCTGTGTCTGGCTTCTTTCACTGAGAATAATGTTCAAGGTTCATCCATGTTGCAGCATGGACTGGACTTCTTTCTTAAGACTGAGTACTATTCCAGTGTCTGTGTGCACCACATTTTCTTTATCCATTCATTTGTTGATGGACACGAGGCTTGCTTCCGTCTTTCAGCTTTTGTGAATAACACTGCTATGAACGTGGATGGACACATATTTCTTACAGACCCTGCTTTCAAGTCTTTTGGATGTACACCCAGAAGTGGAATTGCTGGATTGTATGCTAGTTCTATTTTTACTTTTTTCAGAAGCCTCTGTACCATTTTTCACAGTGGCTGCAGCATTCTACATTCCCACCAACGGTGCACAAGGGTTCTGTTTGTTTCTGAAAAGGATTTTTAAAAATTGAGTTCATGATAGTTTAAGTCATTGTGAGATTTCAGTTGTACATTATTTCTTGACTGTCACCACACAACTGCTCCCCTTCACCCCCTGTGCCCACCCCCCACTTCCCTCCCCCTGATAACCACTGAACAGTTTTCTTTATGTTCCATATATGAGTGAAATCATCTGGTGTTTGTCTCTCTCAGTCTGGCTTATTTTGCTTAGCATAATTCCCTCTAGTCCTTCCATGTTATTGCAAATGGGACGATTTTGTCTTTTTTATGACTGAGTAGTATTCCATTGTATATATATACCACATCTTCTTTATCCAATCATCAATCGATGGGCACATGTCTTGGCTATTGTGAATAGTGCTGCACTGAACACAGGGGTACGTATGTCACTTTGGATTGTTGATTTCAAGTTGTTTGGGTAGATACCCAGTAGTGGGATAGCTGGGTCATATGGTATTTGTATTTTTAGTTTTTTGAGGAATCTCCATACTGTTTCCCATAGTGGCTGCCCCAGTTTGCATTCCCACCAGCAGTGTATGAGGGTTCTCAAAGGGATATTTTTTGACCCTTGTATGCAATGGCTCTTTTTATTTTTCCTAAAGATCGGCACCTGAGCTAACATCAGTTGTCAATCTTCTTTTTTTTTTCCTTCTTTTCCCTGAAACCCCCCAGTACATGGTTGTATATTCTAGTTGTGGGTCCTTCTGGTTGTGCTATGTGTGACGCCACCTCAGCATGGCGTGATGAGCTGTGCTAGGTCCACGCCCAGGATCCAAACCAGCAAAACCCTGGGCCTCCGAAGTGGAGCGCGCGAACTTAACCACTTGGCCATGGGCTGGCCCCTGCAAGTGCTATTCTTGAGGACTGAGTTTGTTGAGGACAAGGAGAGGAAGATATGCCAGGAGGAACCAGGTGTCATCCTGGATGGGGGCTGAATCCCCCAATATTGATCTGAGGACCAACCATAACTCAAGGGCAGTAACCAAAGATCCAAGAATTTCCCAAAAAAGCACACAGGACAGAGATTTGAGGCCCCTGAGAAACGCCATGATCCTGAAGGCAGTATAACGTACGAAAACAGGTTCTGAAGTTGGATGGACCCCAGTTAAAAACCACAGCTGTGGCTTTTGCTGTCTGTGAGGTATTATGCAAGTTATTTCTTTGTATGCCTTTTTTTTCTGTAAAGTGGGGAATTGCAGTTCCTATATGCAACCCATACAACTTCTGTGGGAACTAAAGATAACATAAGTAATCAATATAACTAGTTTTTTTAAGGAGAGGATCTGTATTAGTCAAGACACTTGATTGCAAGTAACAAAAATCTACCTTGAAGAAGCCTAGAAAAAGTGGGGGAATATATTGGATCATGAATTAATGAATTAAAGGAATCATTCACAGTTTCCAAACCGGGCACTATTGACATTTTGAGCTGGAAGATTCTTTTTTGGGAGGAAGGAAAATGCATCCTGTGCATCATAAGATGTTGAGCGGCATCTCTGACCTCTACCCTCTACCTATCCTTTTTCCAGCTGTGACAACCAAAATTGTCCCTAGATGTTGCAAAATATTCGCTGGGAGGCCAGACCGGCTGGAAACCACTGGGATGACAGACTAGTACACGGTGGGAAGGCCATGGATGCCGCTGGTGTCAGAAACTGGAACCAGGGCTGGAATTCTGCCCGGATTCTTTTCCTCTCTGACACCTGTTCGTGTTCTTCTTGTATCCGTTTCCATCTCTTTTAGCCTGGACTGGCTTCCACTATTGGGCAGAGAGCCTGGCTTTCAAAAGCTGAGTTTTGCATTTCGTAAATTCCACTCCTGGAGAGGGCACTGACCCTCTTTCCCAGACTCAGTTCAAAACAAACAAACAAAAAGACAGGGGAGGCACTGTGGACAGTCCTGGTCAGTTCAGCCTCTGGCTCAATCATGGGAAATGCCCACTGGAGTGTAACGCAAGAAAAACCCGGCTCCGTCCAGAGTGACATGAACGTAGGCAGAGAACGAGCAGTTCCTAAACGAAGGAGGGGCGCTACTCTTTGCTGCTACAGTCTGAATGTTTGTCCCCCCCAAATTCATATGTTGAGATGCTAATATCCAATGTGATGGTTTTAGGAGGTGAGGCCTCTGGGAAGTGATTAGGTCATGAGAGTAGAAACCTCATGAATAGGATTAGTGCCCTTACAAAAGAGGCTCCAGAGATCTTCCTTGCCCCCTTCCATCACGGGAGGACAAGGCGAGAAGTCTGCAACCCGGGAAAGGGCCCTCACCCGATAGTGCTGGCACCCTGATCTCAGACTTCCAGCCTCTAGAACAAAGAGAAAAAATTTCTCTTGTTTATAAGCCACTCGGCCAGCTTGTGGTATTTTTTTTTACAGCAGCCAGAATGGACTAAGGCACCTAATGAGGGGGGAGGTATGCTCAGCAAAGGTGTTTGCTGCAGGATTACGGACCCCTAGCCGCAGGAGGAAAATTCCAAGGTACTGATGCTGGTTTGTAGACCAATGACCACATGGAGCAAAGGGAAATTTTTCTCTCTACCCCACGCTGGGACCATGGAGCCCATGAGTTAGGCAGGGAGTCCGTGAGCCTAGGGACACCTTTCCTGCATTTATGATCCATTTACCCCATTCTGTTTTCTAGGTCAATGCGAAGGATATTTGTGTCTCCTCAGGGAGAGGTAAAATAACTTGAAAGAAAGAGAACATTCAAACCACCACAAACATTTGAACAGGGAATGGGCACTCATCACTTGGGTAGACGGCCCCATTGTCCAGAAGGGTGTAAAGGGACTCTTGTTCTGCAAATAATTACAGCTGCTTGGATCTAAGTTGGACCCAATGACTAATAACCTCTTTCCCCACAGATTACTTAGCCTCTGTCTGTCTCAGTTTTATCATCTGTTAAATGGGGTTGAGGGGCTGGCCTGGTGGCATAGTGTTTAAGTTTGAGCACTCTGCTTTGGGGGCTCAGGGTTCACAGGTTCCGATCTTGGATGAGGACCTATACACCACCCATCAAGCCATGCTGCAGTGGCATCCCACATGCAAAATAGAGGAAGATTGGCACAGATGTTAGCTCAGGGCCAATCTTCCTCACAAAAGTAAATAAATAAATAAACGAGGTTGAAAATAGTACCTACACGATGGAGGTGGCTGAGATTTTGAAGAATTATTTTACCTAAATCCTTTCCAAACAGTGTCTAGCGCATAGCAAATACCATATAAGTACCTGCTATCATCATCATTAGGAAGACCCAAACTTTTCCCTCCGAATTCCAAAATACATTTCTCAAGAGCTACAGTCCTGTAGGAAGACTTTCCAGGAAATAGGACACTAGAGAACATGCGTAGCCCTCGAATGATAGTGGTAAATATTCTTATCATTATTATTATTTCTTTAATTTTAAGATTGGCACCTGGGCTAACATCTGTTGCCAATTTTCTTTTTTTTTCCTTCTTCTTCTCCCCAAAGCCCCCCAGTGCATAGTTGTATATTCTAGTTGTGAGTGCCTCTGGTTGTGCTATGTGGGACGCCACCTCAGCATGGCCTGATGAACAGTGCCATGTCCACGCCCAGGATCCGAACCAGCGAAACCCTGGGCCTTCAAAGCGGAGCACGTGAACTTAACCACTCGGCCACAGGGCCGGCCCCCATCATTATTATTAATTATGAATATTGGTGGAAAATTATATGAGCACTCAAGGTTTTCCAGCTTCTAAAAAGGCCAGGGGTGTGTCTGTGCCTTTAACTCAGTTCAATTGTATGTGACAAGGTTAAACACAGATAAGGTGGTCTTTTAAAAAAAATGTTGATAAAATAGGGAGACAAAATGGAAAGAAGAAAAGTATAGTAAGTTGGATTTGCTTTCCGTAGAAGGGGGAACTTTAAAGTGGTTTCGAGTTATTCAACATCTGATGAATAATTGTGGGTTTTTTTCCCTTCCTCTATTTATTCTTGACATATGAGGAACATTCTGAGTTTCTTGCCTGATGGCGATCAATACTATGGCTTCTGACACCAATATGCTGATATAATGGGTGACTGGAATAACCCAGGAAGGTGTTGTTAAGCTCCACCTTGACCTTTCCCGTCTTCCATTGGCCACTGCTCAAATCCTGGCGACTGTCGCCAAGGGCGACAGGCTGAGGAAGAGAGGAGGATGGCATTTGGGGGGTATGTTTGGAGAGTAGATGACTGGGTGCAGGTGCATTGATGGATTATTGAAAACTGAGGCCAAGAGCTTCCCTTTGGGATTCCCCAGAGCCTTTTATCAACCTCTTAGTTGTATGAAGCTATTGCTGGACCAGAACTCTGAACCTGTTGTTACACCAGTGTGCTTACCACGTGGAGATGTGAGGGTCATCTGACTGTCCAAGGCAGGGGACAGGAGGCAGAGACAAAGTATGTGTGAGTAATCCTGACAGAAGAAAAGGGAAGAGAAGTAACTGATCTTAGTCTCATCTCTTATTTTCCTTAGACTGTTGGTTCTCAACCTGGGGCCATTTTGCCAACATGTGGCAATGTATGGAGACATTTTTGGTGGTCACAATTGGAGGTGGGGGCATCTAGGAGGTAGAGATGGGGGGTACCACAAAACATTCTACAATGCACAGGATCCTCTCCTCGACAGAGAATTATCCAGCCCCAAATGTCAATAGTACCAAAGTTGAGAAATCCTACTGTAGACCCCTTGTCTAGTTTCTGGTTAGATACCAAAGTTCTTGGTAGGGACCTTAAAGATGGAGACCATACTCTCCTCCAATCGCTGAACCTTCTAATTACTTAAAATATTTGGTGCCCCAAACCAGTGGCTATTCAAGAAATCTTTAATAATGATACTGGTTACCTAACTTGGCATCATCTGTTTTCTTTTAAGGTCACCTGTGTGGGTTTTCCCCCCCCTTTATTCCAAAGTGTGATCTGTCTTCAGTTTCCCACTCTGATTTCTTCAGAGCCATGCCCTAGGAATCTGATGGTTCATGGGGTTTCTTCATCATTTCTGAACTTTGTACAAGATCCATGTGGTCTCTGGTTCTGCAGAAAGCAGCATGCAGCTGGCAGGGAGGGCTGAGCTGACAGGTGGCAGCTGTGATAAATAGCACCCCCCTTCCTGATGGTGGTTGTGAGATGGAAACTAAGATAGGAGGACAGAAAGTGAAGAACTGAAGGTGGTGCCAAAGGGAACAGAGGAAATAAGTGGTTGGGAGCAAACTGAACTTCACAGGCAGGTCTGCTGCCTTCTTTGAAGGACAGAGCTGAAGGAAGGGGTCTTCTCCTCAAGGGTCTGCTTCTTCTGCTCTGGTCAACTCCAAGAGACAGGGCCAACACCGTTTTGGGTGGGAAAGACATTGAGGAGCGATGTGGTGAGCACATTGCATCAGCAGCGCTTAATGAAGCCTAGCTGTCTTTGCAACCTCTGGCTCTGCTACTCACCAACTGTATGACCTTGGGCAACTCACATAACCTCTTTGAGTTTTAGTTATCTTATCTGTAAGAAAAATCCCGACTCTTGCTCTGTCTTGACCTCTCTGTGCAAAACAGCTGTGTGACTATGGGGAAGATTAAAGATTAGGTATGTGAGTAGGTGCTCACTACACATTAGTTTGAGTTATTACTATTTTGTCCCCAGAAGCACTACAGAAAATGGCTAAGATAGCCCATTTATCTTGGGAACCACAGCCATATCTGATTTAAGAGAATTCTGCTGCCCAGTTGTATTAGCCAAGGTTCTCCAGAGAAACACAACCAATAGGAAATATATACATATATATATATCTCCAAGTATAATATCCTATATGTACATATATCATATGTATGATATAATATATATAAAACATATAGTAAATATCATATATATGATAATAATTTCCTTTTTTGAGAAATCTGAAAACAACTACCTGATAGAAATAATAATAATAAAATAACAAACAGTCATGCATCCATCACCAAGAATCACACTTGTTCACATTTAGCCATTTTTGCCCTGAGTTGTTTTCTTTCCCTAAATAAAGATAAAAAGAAAGTCCTCTTTTCCTCCCAACACTATTTCCATCATTTTGCCTCTTCCCAGTAGAAACTTCTACCCTGAAGTTGGTGTTATCATTTCCGTGCATGTTTTTACACTTTTACTATGTGGGTACAACTTTGTAAACAATACATAGAGTTTTAAAAACTGTACATCAGTGGTATAATATTGTGATTGTTGTCTGCAACTTGATTTTTTTTTAACTCAAGAACTCCATCTTCTAGATAAAACTGAAAGGAAGTCTTCTGAGAAAGCAGAAACAGGACAAGGTAAGAGAAGAGCTTCTCGGGACACAGAGTCATTCAAACATGGGATGTGGCTTCTTTGTGAGGTAGTGAGATATTTGTCTATATTTTGATGATGCCCGAAGGTTGTGGTTCAAGGCAAGGTCTTTTGAGATGGGTAGGGTTTGAGTCACAGCTCTGCATACTCATCGACTGCATGACTTTGGAAATCTTGCTTCAACTCTCTGACGCTCATATCCTCTGCAAAATGGGCATCATTCTATCTCTCTCTCAGGATATTTTTCTTTTTAAAGATTTTTTAATTTTTCCTTTTTCTCCCCAAAGCCCCCCGGTACATAGTTGTATATTTTTAGTTGTGGGTCCTTCTAGTTGTGGCATGTGGGATGCTGCCTCAGCATGGCCTGATGAGCGGTGCCATGTCTGTGCCCAGGATCCGAACCGGCGAAACCCTGGGCCACCAAAGTGGAGCGCGGAAACTTAACCACTTGGCCACGGGGCCGGCCCCATCTCTCAGGATGTTTTTAAGTGTGAGAGAAATGTAGTGAAATGTCTAACATGTAATAGGAACTCAACCAACAGTAGACATATTTAGGCATCAGGACATGTCTCAGGAAACCCGCTGGCCCTCTTACCTGCTCTCCTCTCACCAGAGACCTTTGGGATCATCTTCATTGTCATCTTTGTCTTCCTCTTCCTTCTCGGATCCTTCCTCATCTACAAATACACCGGCTGTGGTGAGTTCAGGAAAATAATGGCAAAATCTTCTATGGGGAATGGGAGAAACAGAATGAGGATGCTAACACCACAGGGTTAATCCTCCCCCTTCTCTTTTTTTATCCCCAGGGGCAGCTCCTAACCAGATGACCACAAGGTAGATCCACTCAGGGAATCCCACCAGCCAATACTTAACTCTTCCATCATTTCCTGGACTGCTTACCCTTCCTTCTTACCTCAACCTTTTATGTGCCCCAGACCAGCTCCAATGATCATCTCAAGCTTCTCTCCATGCTCTCTCTTCTTACAATCATCCTCCGCTTCTCATTCAATGTTCTTTCCTTGGACTCTTTCCTCTTGGACCACATTGCCCCCAAACACCTCCCACCCCTCACCTCTGTAGACTTCCCTGAGCATCCAAATGACTTGGAGACCCTAGAGTGGGCTGTGCAAGCTGAGAGCAGGTGGAGAGACTGGTTTACAGATGACCCTGCTTTTTTTTCTCACCTCCACCTACCCACAATGATCTTGATTTCTCTCTCAAATTTCCTTTATTTTCAATGCTTCACTGTTTCTCTCTCAGCTCCTTCTCTTCTAATGAACCTGAAGAATTGATGACAAGTAATCAACCCGGGAAAGAAAGTGGTGGTGGGTACATGTGTGTGTGTGTTTGTGTGTGTATGAGTATGTGATACATATGATGCATGCCTATGTGTGGTGTGTGCACACATGGGTGCTGTTTGTGTGCATGTGAGCCTGGGTATTTGAATGTACCTATGTGAGTCTGCACATGTAGGTGTGCTGGTATGTTCTATACATGTGAACATGTGTATGATTGTAGCAGTGCACAAATATGTGTGCATGTGTGAGTATGAATGTGTGTATATGACCTGTGTATATGAGTATGTGTCATATATGCATGTGTGCGGTTTGCATGTGTGTGGACATGAGTATATATGAGCATGCATGTGAATATCGTGTGTGTTAGTATGTGCACACGTGTGTGAGTCTATGTGCATGTGGGTATGTTCATGTGTCGGTGTGTGTATGGTGCATGTGCATGTGAGTGGGTGCATGTGTGTGTGTGTGTGTGTGTGTGTGTAGACCTGACTCCTGGAGCCTGGGTGTGAAGCAATGGAAGAATCTTTTCCCTCCCAGACACATCTACAGCTATGAAGAGCTGCTCTCCTGACTTGGTGAGTTTCCATTTTGGTGACTTCTCCTCAGCCCCTCCCTTGTTCCAAGCTCTCCATCACTCCCTCTCTGGTTTTGTCAATGGTTTTGGCCCTTGCTTTCATCCATCTCCAACACTTCCTCCGCATTTCAGGAACACATGGTCTGAACTCTTCTATGCCTTCTCTGGCCATGGGATCTTCATCCCATGGCTTGTCCATTCAGAGGACATTTCTCTGTCTCTACAATGGGATGTTACACCGCCTTCCTCATGGGATTAAAAGGAAGGTTTAATGAGCTCAGAGAATGATCAGTAGGATTCCAGGATGGCGTAAGCATTCAGTACCTCGAAGCTATTATTATTATAAACGTCTGTGTGACCTTGGGCAAGTGACTTTCCCACCCTGAACCTCAGTTTCTTTATCTAGGCAATGGGGATAATATATCCCATCTCCTGGTGTCATTGTGAAAGTATGGAAAGACCCCTTTGTAAAGCAACTGCCACAATGTACACCACGTAGTAGATCCTGCATCAGTTATTGGTAACAGTTATTAATAGTCATACTTTTTTTCTTTTACAATTCAATTTTTAAAAATTTTATTGAGGTCATATTGGTTTATTACGTTATGTATATTTCAGGTGTACATCTTTATATTTCAGCTTCTGTATAGACTACATTGGGTTCACCACCAAAAGTCTAGTTTCCACCTGTCACCATATATATGTGTCCCTTTACCCCTTTTACCCTCTACACACTCCCTTCCCCTATGGTAACTACCAATCTGTTCTCTGTATCTATGTGTGCGTTTATCTTCCACATATGAGTGAGATCACATGGTATTTGTCTTTTACCATCTGACTTATTTTGCTCAGCATAATACCCTCAAGGTCCATCCATGTTGCTGCAAATGGCACGATTTTGTCTTTCTTATGGCTGAGTAGTATTCCATTGTATATGTATACCACATCTTCCTTAACCATTCACGTGTTGATGGGTTCTTAGGTTGTTTCCAAGTCTTGACTATTGTGAATATTGCTCCAGTGAATATAGGGTTGCATATATCTTTTCAAATTATTGAGTTCATGTTCTTTGGATATATACCCAGAAGTGGAATAGCTGGAACATATGGTATTTCTATTTTTATTTTTTTGAGAACTCTCCATTCGGTTTTCCATAGTGGCTGCACCACTTTTCATTCCCACAGCAGTGTATGAGGGTTCCCTTTTCTCCACATCCTCTCTGACACTTGTTGTTTCTTATCCTTTTAATAATAGTCATTCTGACGGGTGTGAGGTGCTATCTCATTGTAGTTTTGATTTACATTTCCTTAATAATTAGTCATGTTGAACATCTTTTCATGCACTTATTGGCCACTTGTAAATCTTCTTTGGGAAAATGTCTGTTCATATCCTCTGCCCATTTTTTGATCCGGTTGTTTGTTTTTTTTTGTTGTTGAGTTGTATGAGTTATAACTTTATATATTTTGGATGTTAATGGATATATCATTTATATATTTAGATGTTATCGGATATCTGATTTGCAAAATTTTCTCCCAGTTGGTGGGCTGTCTTTTTCTTTTGTTGGTAGTTTCCTTTGCTGTGCAGAAGGTTTTTAATCTGATGTAGTCCCATTTGTTTATTTTTGCCTTTGTTTCCCTTGCCTGAGGAGACATGGTATTCAAAAAGATGCTGCTAAGACTGATTTCAAAGAGCATACTGCCTATGTTTTCATCTAGCTGTTTTATAGTTTCAGGTCTTACATTCAGTACATTCTTTTGCATGTGTCTGTCCAGTTTTCCCAACACCATTTATTGAAGAGACTTTCCTTTCTCCACTGTGTGTTCTTGACTCCCTTGTTGAAAATTAACTGTCTATAGATGTGTGGGTTTGTTTCTGGGGTTTCAACTCTGTTCCATTGATCTGTGTGTCTGCTTTTGTGCCAGCCATGCTCTTTTGATTACTATAGCTCTGTAGTATATTTTTAAGTCATGGATTGTGATGCCTCCAGCTTTCTTCTTTTTTCTCAAGATTGCTTTGGCTATTTGGGATCTTTTGTTGTTCCATATAAATTTTAGGATTCTTTGTTCTATTTCTGTGAAGAATGTCATTGGGATTCTGATTGACATTGCATTGAATCTGTAGATTGCTTTAGGTAATATGGACATTTTAACTCTATTTATTCTTCTAATTTATGAGCATGAAATGTCTTTCCATTTCTTTATGTTGTCTTCGATTTCTTTCAATAATGTCTTATATTGTTCAGTGTATTGGTCTTTCACCTCCTTGGTTAAACTTATTCCTAGATATTTTATTCTTTTTGTTGTGATTGTAAATGGGATTGTATTCTTGAGTTCTCTTTCTGCTGGTTCATTGTTAGTGTATAGAAATGTGAATATTTGTATGTTGATTTTGTACCCTGCAACTCTACTGTATTCGTTAATTTTTTCTAATAGATTTTTGGTGGATTCTTCAGGGTTTTCTATATAGAATCATGTCATCCACAAACAGCAACAATTTTACTTCTTCTTTTCCAATTTGGATCTCTTTTGTTTCTTTTTCTTGCCAATTGTTCTAGCTAGGATTTCAAATACTATGTTGCCTGAGATAGGCGAGACTGGGCATTCTTGTCTTGTTCCTGTTCTTAGAGAAATAGCTTTCAGTTTTTCCCCATTGAGTATGATGTTGGCTGTGGGTTTGTCATATCTGGCCTTTATTACATTGAGGTACTTTCCTTCTATTCCCATTTTATTGAGAGTTTTTTTTTTTATCATAAACAGATGCTGAATCTTGTCAAATGCTTTCTCTATGCCTATTGGGGGTGATCATGTGATTTTTACTCTTCATTTTGTTAATGTGGTATATCTCATTGATTGATTTGCAGATGTTTAACCACCCCTGCATTCCTGGGATAAATCCCACTTGATCATGGTGTATGATGCTTTTAATGTATTCTTGTATGCGATTTGTTAATATTTTGTTGAGTCTTTTTGCGTCTATGTTCATCAGCATTATTAGCCTGTAATTTGCCCCCTTTTTTGTGTTGTGCTTGTCTGGTTTTGATATCAGGGTAATGTTGGTCTTGTAAAATGAGTTTGGAAGTGTTCCATCCTCTTAAGTTTTTCAGAAAAGTTTGAGAAGGATAGGCATGAAATGAATGTTTGGTAGAATTTACCAGAGAAGCCATCTGGTCCTGGATTTTTGTTTTTTGGGAGGTTTTTTATTACTGTTTCAATCTCTTTACTTGTGATTTGTCTGTTTAAAATCTCTGTTTCTTCTTGATTCAGTTTTGGAAGGTTGAATGATTCTAAGAATTTATCCATTTCTTCTAAATTATCCAATTTGTTGGTGTATAGCCTGTCACAGTATTCTTATAATCATTTGTATTTCTGTGGTATCCATTGTGATTTCTCCTTTTTTCATTTCAATTTTATTTACTTGAGTCTTCTCTCTTTTTTTCTTAGTGAGTCTAGCTGAGGGTTTGTCAATTTTGTTTATCTTTTCAAAGAACCAGCTCTTGGTTTCTTTGATCCTTTCCATTTTTTTTTTTTAGTCTCTATTTGATTTATTTCTGCTCTGATTTTTATTATTTCCTTCCATCTACTGACTTTGAGCTTCATTTGTTCTTCTTTTCCTAGTTCTTTTAGGTATAGTGTTAGATTGTTTATTTGATATTCTTCTTGTTTCTTGAGGTAGGCCTGTACTACTACATACTTCCCTCTTAGTACCACTTTTGCTGCATCCCATATGTTTTGGTATGTTGTGTTTTCATTTTCATTTGTCTCTGGGTATTTTTTGATGTCTCCTTTGACTTCTTCATTGAGCCAATGGTTGTTCAGTAGCATGTTGTTTAGTCTCCACTTATCTGGGTCTTTCCCAGCTTTTTTCCTAGTTGATTTCTAGTTTCATAGCATTGTGGTCAGAAAAGATGTTTGATATGATTTCAATCTTCTTAAATTTATTGAGGCTTGCCTTGTTTCCCAACATATGGTCTATCTTTGAGAATGTTCCATGCACACTTGAGAAGAATAAACATTCTGCTGTTTTTGGATGGAATGTTCTATATATGCCTGTTAAGTCCATCTGGTCTAGTGTTGCATTTAAGGCCACTGTTTCCTTGTTGACTTTCTATCTGGGTGATCTATCCATTGACGTAAGTGTGTGTGTGTGTGGGGGGGTGTTGAGGTCCCCTACTATTATTGCATTGCTGTCAATTTCTCCCTTTAGGTCTGTTAATAGTTGCTTTATATGCTTTGTTGCTTGTGTTTTAAGTGTACATATATTCATGTGTTATGTTCTCTTGGTGGAATGCCCCTTTTATCATTATATACTGTCCCTCTTTGTCTCTCATTATCTTTTTTTATCTTGAAGCCTACTTTGTCTGATATAAGTATGGCAACATCTGCTTTCTTTTGTTTGCCCTTTGCTTGGAATATCATCTTCCATCCCTTCACTCTGAGTCTATGTTTGTCTTTAGTGTTGACATGTGTTTCCTGGAGGCAGCATATTTTTGGGTCTTGTTTTTTGATCCATTAAGCCACTCTGTGTCTTTTGATCAGAGAATTCAATCTATTTACATTTAGAGTGATTGATATATGAGGGCCTAATACTGCCATATTATCTCTTGTTTTCCAGTTGTTCTATATTTCCATTGTTTCTCTTCCCTTGTATTTCTGACTGCCATTTCAGTTTGGTCATCTTCTGTGATGATTTTCTCAATTTTGTATTTATTTATGATATATGGCTCTGCCCTGATTTTTTGTTTAGTGGTTATTATGAGGTTTGTATAAAAGATCTCATAGATGAGATACTCCATTTTCCAAGATAGCCTCTTATCTCTACTAGCCTAAGCAGGTTCTATCCATTTCCTCTTCCCCTTCTGAGTTATTGTTGCCACAAATTATTCTTTTTTGTGTTGTAAGTTTGTGACTAAATTGAAGTGTTTAGAATTGCTTTTGATACTTTCCTTCCCTTTATCTTTTATGTTATAATTAAATGTTTGATAACCTATTTTGATAGCTGCAATTTTCCTATTTTGTCTGTCTATTTATCTCCTTGCTCAAAGCTTTGTAAACCTTTGTCTTTTTGTTTCAGGTAGGAGAGCTCCCTTCCTCATTTCTTGTAAGGCAGGTCTAGTGGTGATGAACCCCCTCAGCTTTTGTTTATCTGGGAAAGCTTTTCTTTCTCTGTCAAATCTGAGGGATAACTTCTCTGGATAGAGTATTCTTGGAGAAAAATTTTGTTTTCCATATTTTGAATATATCATTCCATTCTCTCCTAGCCTGTAAGGTTTCTGCTGAGAAATCAGCTAAAGCCTCACAGGGATTCCTTTGTAGGTTATTTTCTTCTGCCTTGCTGCCCTTAATATTTTTTCTTTGTCATTTACTTTTTAATTTATTTTTAAGATTTTATTTTTCCTTTTTCTCCCAAAGCCCCCCAGGTACATAGTTGTGTATTTTTAGTTGTGGGTCCTTACAGTTGTGGCATGTGGGATGCCACCTCAGCATGGCTTGACGACCAGTGCCATGTCTGCACCCAGGGTTCGAACCAGTGAAACTCTGGACTGCCAAAGCAGAGTGCACAAACTCAACCACTCAGCCATGGAGCTGGCCCCTACTTTTTTTTTTAAAGATTGGCACCTGAGCTAACATCTGTTGCTAATCTTTTTTCTTCTTCTTCTTTTCTTTTTATTCTTCTTTTCTTCTTCTCCTCTCCCCTCCCCCTCCCCTCCTCCTCCTTCTTTTCCCCAAAGCCCCCCAGTACATAGTTGTATATTCTAGTTGTAGGTCCTTCTAGTCGTGTTACGTGGGACGCCACCTCAGCATGGCCTGATGAGTGATGCCATGTCTGCACCAGGGATCCGAACTGGCAAAATTCTGGGCAGCTGAAGTGGAGCATGTAAACAACCACTTGGCCATGGGGCTGGCCCCTGTCATTTACTTTTGACACTTTTAATATTATATGCCTTAGAGAAGGCCTTTTTGCATTGATGTAAGTAGGAGTTGTATTGGCTTCATGTAATGGTAAGTCCAGCTCTTTCCTCAGGTTTGGGAACTCCGCAGCTACTATTTCTTTGAACAAGCTCTCTGCTCCTTTCTCCCTCTCTTCTCTCTCTGGAATACCTATAATCCTTACATCACTTTTCCTAATTGAGTCAGAGAGTTCGCAAAAGATTTCTTCATTTTAAAAAAATCTTAGTTCTCTCTCCTCCTCCACCCGAAGCATTTTCATATTTTTGTCTTCTAGTTCACTAATTCTGTCCTCCATAAAATCTGCTCTATTTTTTATGGTTTCTACATTATTTTTTTATCTCACTAATTTTGTTCTTCATACCCAGAATTTCTGTTTGGTATTTTTTAAGGGCTTCAGTCTCTTTGGTGAAGTATTCCTTCTGTTTATTAATTTTGTTCCTGGGCTCGTTAAACTGTCTTTCTGTGTTTTCTCATAACTTGTTGAATTTCTTTATGACAATTATTTTGAATTCCCTGTCATTTAAATTGTAATCTCCCGTGACTTCAGGTTTGGTTCCTGGAAACTTGTCCTTTTCCTTCTGTTCTGCAGTGTTACTTTAGTTCTTCATGGTGTTTGATTAGTAGATCCTCTGCCAGAGCATTTGTGTTAGTATCAGGTCTCAGATTTCACCTGCCACAGCTGTGTTTTCTAATCCCACCCCCTCTGCTGGTAGTTGTGCTGGTCAAGCTGTTCTGCCTTCCCATGGGCTGGCCACAGCAGCTCGTTGGGTCACACGGGCCAGTGCTGCACTCGTGGGCAGGTCCCACAGGCTGCTGTGCTTGGTGGGCAAGGCACCTTCATGTAGGCTGAGCTGCTGCTACTTGGTGGTTTGTGCTTGCATGGGCAGGGCATCTTCCTATGGGCTGGTCACTGCACTCCATGGGTTGATCCTGCAGGCTGCTGTGCTCAGCAGTCAGGGCAACTTCACATGGGCTGGCACTCTGCTTGCTGGGAAAGGTGCCTTCATGGGGGCTGAGCTACTACCACTCAATGGGGAGCATTGACATGAGTGGGGCTGCCTACTCTCACAGGCCAGGCTACCACTCCAAAAGCATTCATATGTGGGCCAAGCTGCCCCCACCTCCACTCACAGTTGTGCTGGTTGCTGTGTGAGGATCCAGGACCTGGATGGGTGCCACCAGGGGGTGTGGGGCCACTTCCCTAGTTCCAGGGATTCCCAGGGATCCAGTCCTCCCACCTTCTGATGTATAGCTCCACGGATCTCTCAGGCATTCTTGTGTGCTGTGCAGGGGGTCCATTGTTGGTTAATGCATGTCCCACTGGTTGTAACTTAGAGGTGAGAGACAAAGGGAACAGCTTACTCCACCATGACACTGACGTCACTCATGAGGAATTCTCTCAATTTTTAAAAAATTGTGGCAACATGCCATAACATAAACTTTACCATTTTAATGTGGACAATTCAGCAACATTTGGTCCATTCACAATGTTGTGCAATAGTCACCATTATCTAGTTCCAGAACATTTTCATCGCCCCCCAAAGGAAATCCCACACCCTTGTAGCAGTCACTCCCCATTAACTCCTCCTTCCAACTCTGTGTCCTTGGCAATAAGTAATTTTCTTCCTGTCCCTATGGATTTGCTTATTCTGGACCTTTCATATTAACACTTATTTTGATAGCTGTATGTATGAATTGCATAATACCTCAGAACACTGCATAACACATCATCCTAAAGTGTATCAGCTTAAAGCAACATTTATTATCTCACAGTGTCTGTAGGTCAAGAATCTGGATGTGCCTTAGGTGAGTCCTCTCACTCTGGGCCTCACAGAGCTGTGATTAAGGTGTTGGCCAGGGCTGATTAGGGCTTGACTAGAAGAGGATTTACTTCCACACTCACTCAGGTGGTTGTTGGCAGGATTCAGTTCCTTGCTGGCTGTTGGATGAGAACCATGCTGGCCATATGGGCCTCTTCATAGGGCAGCTCATAACATGTCAGCTGGCTTCATCAGTGTGAGCAAGGGAGAGGAAGAGAAGTGAGGCAAGATGGAAGTCATGGTCTTTCACAACCTAGTCTTGGGCATGACATCCCATCTCCTCTTCTGTATTTTCTTGCTGTATTCTTTTGACAGATACAAGTCACTAGGTCCAGCCAACACTAAAGAGGGGAGAGGACCTCACAAAGGCTTGAAGAGTAGGAGACTCTTGGGAGTTATCTTGGAAAGCTGTCTGCCACATTGTTATTATGATTGTTAAATCTTCATAATCCAATAGTCCTCCCTGGAATACCTGATCCTTTTCTCCTTGCTTACCTTCAGGATGAGGGATCTCAGGTCTCAAGAGCTGAAGAGCTCCATGGAGTGACTTATGCTGAGCTAGACACCAGAGCCCTACGCGAGGGCCCTTCCAGCAAGAAGAAGCAGTCTCTGGAAACCTGTGTGTACTCAGCCCTTAAGACATAGCCAGGAGAAGATCTGGAGCCTGAAAGAAAGAACTGCTGGAAAGGGACTGGATGATGGGGAAGAGGTCTCTTGGAAGACTAGGGACATGGGGATCCCTTTCATCAAATCTCTAATGAAGACTTGTTTATTTCTCTTTTTTTTGGTTTCCCTCTCTAAAAAATTTATTTTTTTAAAGTGAGAGGTACCGTTTACCTAGAGTAATATGACAAGGAGATAACTCAAGATGGGGGTGCTGGTCATGCCAGGCAAACCAACCATGTGATTAGAGGGTTAGGACTTTGAGCCAGGAGATATCAGCCCAACCTCTGGGGGGAAAAGGGAGGCTGGGGATAGATTCAATCATGTGGACAGTGGTTCAATCAATTACACCTATGTGATGAAACCCCAATGAAAACTCTGGACACTGAGGCTCGGGGGAGTTCCCTGACTGGTGACACACATTGATGTTCTGAAAGGGTGGGTGGCATAGTCTGAGAATATAGGAAGCTTCCCTTTGGGGGCTGGCCCAGACCTCACCCTATGTGTCTCTTTGTTTAGCTGGTTCTGGTTTGTATCCTTCACAATAAAATTGTAATAATGAGTATGGCACTTTCTTGAATTCTTTGAGTTGTTCTAGCAAAAATTATTGAATTTGAGGGGGGTAGTGGGAAGCTCCGAATTTTTAGGGAGTTGTTCAGAACTGCAGGTGGCCTGGGAACATCTGTGCTCACAGCTGGTGTCTAAAGTGAGGACAGTCCTGCGGATACTGTGCCTTTAACCTGGGAAGTCTGTGCTAACTCTGGGTAGTTAGTGTCAGAATTATATTGCAGCTCAGAAGTGGATCCTTCCCAAATTGATCTTTCAGATGAGACCCCAGCCCTGGTCAACACCCTGATTACAGCCCCTAGAGAATCCTGCTAGGTTGTGCCGGGATTCCTGGCCCACAGAAACTATAAGATAATAAATATGTGTTGCTTAAGCCACTAAGTTTGTGGTAATATTGCTACCACAGCAACAGATAACTAATGGCGTCACTTAGACATTTCTGGACATCCTTCCACAGAATGATGCCTGAGACGGAAACGTCTTCACCACTGTGGGGTGAGATGGGGGAAGTTTCAAAAGATTCTCTGGAAAGGAAATGGGGCTTTTGAGACAAACAGAGCTGGGTTCCAATTCCTGCACCTGCCTTTCCCACTTCTGTATCTTTGAGCAAGAGAATCTCTTCTTGTTGCAGCTCAGTTTACATTTCTCCAGTTAATTTGGCCCAAAGAAATTTTACCAAATACAACTTGGTAGGAGGCACCCTATTTCACCTGTATGGTGAAGTTGGAAAATTGGTCAAAAGGTAGATAAATTGGGATTTACATTTTTAAGTTGCAGAGACACAAGTATTTTTCAACCTAGAGACAAAAATCAGTGAGGGTGACTCATATAAGCTCATAGAGGAAAAAAAAGGAAACAAAAGTTTGCAGTTTCAGACCTTCTGATAATTTCAGTTCTGGGGGACCCACTGGCTCAGTAAGAGCCTGTGAGCCACACGCAGATTTTCTAGGAGTCTAAAATGGTTTTAAGTGAGGAGACCAGGGTCTCACAAAATCACTGCAAAGCCCAAAGAACTTAGCGCAACTCCCATGCATGACAGTTATTTGAGGACTGTGCTGTGAGGGTTGATTCCAGTAGGAACTGGTCTAAGCTATTTCGCTGATGTAAAAATGCACCCCCATGACGCTGACCCCTGGTCATGGACTGGAACATACTGGTTCATGGTGTTGCTTTGTAACCATGGGTCCCAGGAGTTCTGGCAAGGTTTCTATCAGCTTGTTGGCATTGTTTATTGGTATGTGTGAAAGTGATAATTCACACTTTGTCCTGTGAGATCCCAGAGGATTGTGCCATCGGGACTGGCAATGTAGCAACAATACACCAAGATCACCATCATGGAATAAGATCACCATCATGGAATAAGAAACTCCAGTCAAGGCTTCAGTTTCCTGCTTCTGTGTTTTGTGAACACAGCAGTGGTTTCTGATCCAAGAGAGAAAGCCCATCCATGCAGCCCTTGGAAAGTGGAGAAAATTGGGGCTCATGTCTTATGTCTGGGGATCCTTTTTGCCAGAGATGCGTATCCTCATTTTAATGCTATATGTATATTGCTGATACATTGATCTTTGTCCTGTAACACACAGTAGATTCATCAGCATTACCCTTTTGGGTTCTATGAGTCTTCTTTAGCAATTGAACTCTGACTGCCACAGTTAGTAAAGAAACCATTTGGCAACATCCTTAGTTCTTAGCCGGTGGGCAACGTCTAGTGACCTGAAGGTTTGCCCAGGATTTCCAATATTCTCAACATTGGAGTGCCTTCATCTTCTCAGTAGGAATCCTTCAGATCCAAGCTGTAAGCATTTGAGGGGTTACCTGCTTGATGGCTGAAATGTGACTGAGACAGATGAAGATTTTCTGTGAGGTAAGTTCTTAAAGACTGGCATGGGAGGAACATGTTGCAATCAGCAGCATCAACACGTTTACGGAAAGTGGCTGTGGGAGGAGGGAACTGGAAGTTCAGAGAAAAGTCATTACTTCTCACACTCTGGAGTCCGGGGTGATGCTGTGACCATTCTGGCTTTTCTCCCTCCTGTGGACTGCAAAACCGAAGGACCCTTGAACAGGTGGACATGCTACTATGATCCCTAGACTCCTTTTCCTCCTCTGTTTCAGTAAGTCTCATGGGGCAGTACACTGGGACCATAGAAAATAATATAACTGGTGTGTGGTTTGGATTGGGGATGGAAAGAGAAAGAGTAACATCAACTTTGGTTTATTGAGTGCATATTATGTAACAGAAATCTTGCAGCACACATGTGACCTCTAAACCAGTGTTTTCCAAATTTCAATTATTCTTCTTCCAACATCACGACTTTTGATGAATGCCTCTACCACCAGTACTTTATTGGCTTAATGTTTTTCTTAATAGCGACTCTGGCTTTTTTCTTAAATAAAAGTATTTAAGATAGAAATTTTGTATCAATACTATGAATAAAAATCCAGTGTTGAATCGTAGGTAACTATAAAGTAGATGCAATTTACTTTATATGAGGAATATGGGGAACAATGTTAGGATAGTCTAACAATATACTGTTCCTTGTCAAGCTTCTGAGCCTGAAACTTGCTATTTCTTTGCCATCCAGGCAATTGCCATGATCAAGATACATCAGAGGCTAGCTTCAAATAGGCCTCCTTGTTGATTTAATCCAAGGCGCTATGAGAGCGTTGATTGCATGCTGTCATGCAATGCTTTAATCATCCTTCCTTCCACCTAAAATCATCATACATCACACCAATGGGATGTATTCCACATTTCCACATTTGGAAAATACCACCCTGATCATTCAAAAAAAAAAAAAAAAACCCAAAACCCAGTAAGAGGAAATTCGGTCCACCTTTCCAGATTAGAAATTAATCTAAGTTTGAAAAGTGAAGTGACTTGCCTCAGATTGCACAAGTGGTACAAAGGAAGCCAAAGTTTTAACCCACAACTTCTTAGCTCTAAAAATGCTGTTCCTCTCAGCCACGATGTTAACGTAAGAGGGTCACTTGCATGGACTCCTTTGTAGGGAAGCATCTAGGACAGTATGAAAGGACTTGGGATTGGAAAAAGCTTGAGGAGGCAAAGACGAGTGGTTCAGAATGTTCCCAGCTATGGAGCTAGAATGCAAACTCAAAATAAATTGGTTTCCAGAAACCAATAGAGCTTGACATTCACAAAATATCAGAGGAGGAGCACTTGCCTTGGCGTGATTATTTGCACTTGGCTTTCTCCTATCGCCGCTAGTCTCTGATCCCAAGAGTTTAGGCTACACCCCAGAGCACTCCTTACGTCAGAGGCTTGTCTTAGGAAGACACAACTAGTTGTGTTTTTGGAGGGAACTGGATGGATGTAGTGAATACAGCATATGTTCTGGAGACTCAGCTCCTGCACACACTATTTGTGGGGCCTTGGGAAACACATGTCAATATTTAAAAGTTTGCTCATCTTTGAGGGTTAGCTTCACAATTAGGTTCAAGTATGCATGACTTGAGGCACATTATTCAAGCTCAATAAATGACATTTTTTAGAATTCTTTTTTTTGAGGAAGATTAGCCCTGAACTAACACCTGCTGCCATCAATCCTCCTCTTTTTGCTGAGAAAGACTGGCCCTGAGCTAACATCCATGCCCATCTTCCTCCACTTTATATGTGGGACACCTGCCACAGCATGGCTTGATAAGTGGTGTATACGTCTGTGCCCAGGATCCGAACCAGTGAACCCTGGGCCACTGAAGCAGAGTGTGCAAACTTAACCACTACTTATCCACTTAATCATTACTTATCCACGGGCCTGGCCCCATCGATAAATGATTTTTTTTAAGTTTGTTATTCTTTTTATCATTCATTCTCCTCTTACTTGGTTAGACATTGATTCCACAGCAATTCCTTCCACAGTTCTTCCCTAGATGCAAGTATGAAACACTTCAATCTTTTTTATGGCTGAATAGTATTCCACTTAGGTATGCATGTGTCTATACATTCTACTTCGATATAGACCACATTTTATTTATCCATCCATCTGTTGATGGACACCTGGGTTGTTTCCACCTTTCAGCTATTCCTTATCTTCCCTCCTTCAATGAGAAGGTTAATATTTTCCTTCCCATTTTGTCTTTGAGAGACAGTGAGTCTCTCTTAATGGACTTCCTGCTGCTCTCCAAGTAATGAGGCCTCTGAGCAGGCTTCCTGCTGTCACTCAGGCATGTCCTGCTGAAGACAGAGATGACATCAGATGAGATGTTCTGGGGCCTGGGAGTGTATGGTAAATCCCACACGACCTGATGGAGTGTCCGACCATTGTCTACCCAGCTCCACAAAGCTCTTAACCCTTCCAGGCTAACAGAGCACAGGAGGCCTCTGAAGAGGTACCTGTCCTCCCTCAAAGGTGTTCAGGATCTGAGTGTCTTGAGGCGTACAGGTGGGGGTTGATGGAGAAGGGACTAGGATTGCAAAGACCCTAAATTTCCATAGACCCCAGAATGTCCCATGAGCCAAGACAGCAGCACATCCTGACTTCTCAGTCCCAATCACAATTCCCTCATGAGTTGCTCCAAACCATCCAGAATTTATTTATTTTTCTTAATTTTACTTTGTCAGATTAGACTCCCACTTTCTCTGGGCATCACATACAGCCTACAGACTTTCTAAGTCCCTGAGACTTTACAGCCTCTTGCAGAGAGGTGCTGGAGTTCTCTCCATTCCCTTAGCGCTTTGCCAGGACACGAGGCTGACATTTACTGATAATCTTCCACCTGTTATGCAGAGTGGCGCTTACCTTGCACACTCAGCATGATCCATTAGAAGGGGAGAGGGTCTGTGCTGTGGGTCCCACTTCTTTGCAAAGCAGGTCGGCTCCCAGGACTTTGATGCTCAGAGACCAGGCTCTCTACCCAGAGCTCACGGTCATGTGCTTCCCAGGTGTAGCTTCCAGTGGGTTCAGGTGTCCACAGGTGTCTGCTCTCTCAACCCTTCTTTTTTCCATTCTCTGTGGATTCACAGACTGTAAGACAGATTCCTTTTCAATACCTTAAACATATCCATTATATTCCTTTTTTTTATTATGGTAAAATATATATAAATACTATTTATCCTTTTAACTATTTGCAAATGTAGAGTTCAGCGGCATTAAATATGTTCACAATGCTGTGCAACCATCACTCAAAACTTTTTCATCATCCCAGACATAAACTCCGTACTCGTGAACCAATAACCCAGTTTCTCTCTTTCTCCTCAGCCCCTGGTAACCTCTATTCTACTTTCTGTCTCCATGAATTTGCCTATTCCACGTCGTGTAAATGGAATCACACAATATTTGTCCTTTTGTGTCTGGCTAATTTCACTGAGCATAATGTTTTCAAGGTCTATCCTTGGACCTCGTAGCATGTATCAGAATTTAATTCTTTTTCATGGCTGAATAGTATTCCATAGTATGTATAGCCCACTTTTTGCTCATTCATTCATCCTTTGCTGGACACTGGATCTCTTCAAATTTTGGCAATTTACTGTCACTGTTTTCAAAAAGTGAAATATAATATTTTTGATTGGCCCACGCAATTTTAGTGCAAAAGCCTGGTAACTTCTCCTTTTCACGAAGACACAAAACCGTTTAGTTCACATGGGGGAAAAAGAGGAAATCGCTTAGAAACACAGGCCTAATCAACATCTGTTGAGTTAGATCAATCTCTTTCTTGCCATAATATTCACAAACAGGCATGATGTTAATTTCAAAGAGATCTGGGCACTCAGGCAAAACTGTATCTACCACCACTGGGCATTAATGGCAGGGTGGTCGTGAACAGTCAGAGATGTATGTAATTACTTTCACTTGGAAGTTTCTTTCTAAGCCGGTTGACTTTGAATACCTAAGTTTCAGTCTTGAGAAAGGTTTTTCCGGGTTCACATACAGCAGTGGTTCTCCACCGTGGCCGAATATTTGTGGGGAGATTTTGATTTTTTTTTTTTTGAGGAAGATTAGTCCTGAGCTAACTACTACCAATCATCCTCTTTTTGCTGAGGAAGACTGGCCCTGAGCTAACATCCATGCCCATCTTCCTCTGCTTTACACGCGGGATGCCTGCCACAGCATGGCTTTTTGCCAACCTGTGCCATGTTCGCACCCGGGATCCGAACCGGCAAACCCTGGGCCACTGAGAAGCGGAACGTGCGAACTTAACCACCGCACCACCAGGCCGGTCCCAATGTGGGGAGATTTTGAAAGTTTGGGGCCTGAGTCCTATTGCAAGTGATTCTGACTCAAAGCCTGTGTGTGGCTTGGTCTGTGCACTGGAATTTTCAACAACGCCCTGCCCTCAACGGGAGCAAAATGAGTAGCTGAGATTAAGAACAATTGAGTTGGAGTATCCTACAAATGCACCTGCACATGGGACAAGGGAGGGGAGGTGCGTATGTTTTCTCCTTTCTGGAACATCCATTTGGATTTTTTGAGGCTGGCTTCATGGTACCAAGCAGTAACCTTTGTCCCATCTGGAGTATCAAGAGATGAAAAGAGATAATGGCTAAGATTGGATAAGAAACTTTTCAGATTAAACGCTGAGATTGACTTAACTAGCTCTTCTCAGTGATAGGACTTGCTCCATCTCTGAGAAAACCCCTACTCACCAAATGGATGTTGGTGACGATGGTGAGGTCCAGAAATGGAATTAATCTGGTGGGAGGAAGAAAGGGAGCTATGGAGAGGTTGCAACTTTTCACATCCTGGTAAAATTTCTCAATCATGCTTAAACGGGGTCATCACATCAGAAAGTCAAGGTGCATTTGTAGAAGTCCTACTATGTGCCAGAACACGCACAGACACGGGGGATGTTGAGGCCAATAACACAGAGTTGCTACTCTCCAGGTGCTCATCATAGTGACATCTTATGTCACCCACATTATGAGTTACATAAACTTCTATGAACTCTTTTAAGAAATTACAATAAAATGGTTCTATCTTAATTTATGTCACTGAAGGCACCAAGGATCCGTTCTTATGGTGATTCTTCTGTCTACAGATGAGACTGTCAGGAGATGCTTAGGCCTACATAGAGCCTCAGAACATCAGAAGTGGGCGAAGGCCACACTCGTGTCCCCGGCTTCCCCAATCTCCCTCATGGTTCATGCCTCTTATACAATACTGAGAGATCTAGGAAGTATAAGACAGGTTCTAATAGAAATGTAAGACTAACAGTGGTTCAGGAGAGAAAATGAGACTAGGAGGATTTGTGGCATTTGGTGGAACCAAGAAAGGTCCTGGGGCCTTGGGAGGTGAAAGCTGCACAGAAGAAGTTCTGTTAGAAGTGATGGAGGAGCTGAGGGCAGAGCTGAAGCCAAAGTCTTGCATAGAGACAATGAGAACTCCAAAATGCATGACCTCCAGGGGTCCATCCTCAACAAGAGCCCCAGGGAGGTCCCTCAGGGATGAGGGCAGGTGATGGTGTGGGCTCCAGGTAGGTGCCTATGTCTCATGGACCGTTCTTTTGCAGGGCTGTGTGCTGGCCAAGGAGACAGGAGAAGAGATGGTGAGTGTTTCTTCTATTAAACCCTCCTTGATCCTTCAGCCCCAAAGGCCCCATTTTCCTTTCCATTCTTTAAATGGGCTCCCTGAGAGCAGGTGAGAGAACCAAACCCAACCCTCCACTCTGCTTCCTTCCAGGCTCACTTCCCAAGCCCTCTCTCAGTGCCTGGCCTAGCTCGGTGGTACCGGCTAAAAGTAATGTGACGCTGCGATGCAGGACTCCTACCAAGGATGTAAACTTTGATCTCAGAAAGGGAGGACACCTCATTGAGTCCTCACAATCACCTGATTCTGCAGAGGGCCTGGCTGAATTTCACCTCACTGATCTGAAAATCAGTCATGCCGGAGAGTACATGTGTGAATACCACAGAAGAGGGAGACCCTACGTAAGTTCACAGCCCAGTGATGTCCTTCTACTGCTGGTGACAGGTGAGGACGGGGCTTCAGCATGGCACGTGGTCTTCCTAGAGACAGGGGATGGTGGAGGAACCAGAGCAAGAGGGGGCGGGGGTTCTCACCTCCAGTGCCGTTGGGGAGGGGGAGATGGAGAAAGACAGGCAGGGAGCTGACAAACTTGGCTTTATTCAGGGCTGACAGGAGGGAGAATCTCCTTCCTGGAGTCAGAGCAGAAAGAGGGTGAGATGAGGCATCTGTCATTCCCCACACTCCATGGGAACCCCCAGCCAGAAGAACATAAGTGAGTGGGGGACGCCAGGCTTCTCCCCATGACCTTGGAGCCTCCCTTTTCTTCCAGGAAATTTTCCTAAACCTTCCCTCCAAGCCCACCAAAGGGGTAAGGTGACTGAAGGAGAAAAGGTGACCCTGCAGTGCCAGAAGCCAGACTTCGGGATCGTGCCTGTGATGTTTGCCCTACTGAAGGCAGGAAGTCCAAAGCCCATCCAACTCCGGACTCCAGTAGGGAAGGAGACAGACTTCTCCCTTCAGAGTGTGACAGTCAATGACACTGGGCAGTACAGCTGTGTGTACTACCAGACAAAGGCTCCTTTCTGGGCCTCAGAGCCCAGCAATCGCGTTGACATCCAGGTGACAGGTAACGCTTGCCATGATTTTGAGAAATTTCTTTTTAACTAAATAAGAAATCATTGATCTGTCATCCTCTGATTCTCATTTCTACATCACGTGCACTACCATCTCTTTTTAACATCTTTTGTTTCTTAATTTTCACTCTTTTGCCCTTTTTTGTTCCGCATCTGTGGATAATTTCTCAAGTTGTTCTTCAAAATGATCAATCCTGCCATCATCAGAATCCCTTCTACCATTCTCTGCATCTCTTAAGGTGTTGGTTTACCTTGGCAATAGTGGTTTCATTCCCAACGATGCTTTTTTGTTCTCAGAATGTGGCATTCCCACAGCCTCCTGCTTTAGGGTGATGGAGACAAAAGCTTTTCGTATCTCACAGCACTTACTGTTAGAATTCTTCTGACATTATCTCATTATGAAAATACATAATGGCAGAGATTGGATCAGAAACCTTTAAGGACGAAGGCTAAGGACGTCCAGCTAGCACTTTCCCATGATAGCGCTTCCTCTGTCTCTCAAGCAACTTCTTACCCCACCAAATGGGTGGGGGTCACTATGTTGTGAGGTAGGGATGGGTCAACCCGGTGGGAAGAAGAAAGGAAGATATTGTAAGTTTGCATCTTTTCACATCCTGGTAAAATGTCTCAATCATTTAACTAGGGGCATCCCAGCAGGAGGTCAATGTGCATTTGTAGAGGTCCTACTATGTGCCAGGACCTGCACAGACCCTGGGGATGCTGAGGTGAATAGCACAGAATTCGTGCCATCCAGGTGCTCACAGGTAGTGACATCTTGTGTCTCCCATGGTATGAGTTACATAAACTCCTATGAAGTCTTTTAAGAAATTACAACCAAATGGTTCTGTCTAAATTTATGTCATCCAAGGTACCAAGGAAGCTTTCTTATGGTGGTTCTTCTATCAGAGATGAGACTGTCAGGAGATGCTCAGGCTTAATTAGGGCCTTATAACATCAGAGGTGGTGAGGGCCACACTCATGTCGCCAGCTTCCCCAACCTCCTTCGTGGTTCATGCCTCTTACCCCCGGCTCAGAGGAGGGGGAATTAGAAACTATAGCACAAGTTCTAATAGAAATATAAGATTAAGAGTGGCTCAGGATAGAAGCCGAGAGGAGGAGGATTTGTAGAATTTGATGGAGCCAAGAAAGGTCTTGGAGCCTTGGGAGGTGACAGCTGCACAGGACAATCTCTGTGAGAAATGATGGAGGAGCTGAGGGCAGAGCTGAAGCCAGAGTCCAGCATGGAGAAAATGAGAACTCCCAAACGCATGACCTCCAGAGGTCCCTTCTCAGCAAGAGGCCCTGGGAAAGTCCCTCAGTGATGAGGCAGGTGATGGTGTAGGTTCCAGACAGGTGCATATGTCTCATGGACCGTTCTTTTTCAAGGCTGCGTGTTGCCCAAGGAGACAGGAGAAGAGATGGCGAGTGTTTTTTCTATTAAACCCTCCTTGATCCTTCAGCCCCAAAGGCCCCATTTTCCTTTCCCTTCTTTAAATGGGCTCCCTGAGAGCAGGTGAGAGAACCAAACCCAACCCTCCACTCTGCTTCCTTCCAGGCTCACTTCCCAAGCCCTCTCTCAGTGCCTGGCCTACCTCGGTGGTACCGGCCAAAAGTAATGTGACGCTGCGATGCAGGACTCCTACCAAGGATGTAAACTTTGATCTCAGAAAGGGAGGACACCTCATTGAGTCCTCACAATCACCTGATTCTGCAGAGGGCCTGGCTGAATTTCACCTCACTGATCTGAAAATCAGTCATGCTGGGGAGTACATGTGTGAATACCACAGAAGAGGGAGACCCTACGTAAGTTCACAGCCCAGTGATGTCCTTCTACTGCTGGTGACAGGTGAGGACGGGGCTTCAGCATGGCACGTGGTCTTCCTAGAGACAGGGGATGGTGGAGGAACCAGAGCAAGAGGGGGCGGGGGTTCTCACCTCCAGTGCCGTTGGGGAGGGGGAGATGGAGAAAGACAGGCAGGGAGCTGACAAACTTGGCTTTATTCAGGGCTGACAGGAGGGAGAATCTCCTTCCTGGAGTCAGAGCAGAAAGAGGGTGAGATGAGGCATCTGTCATTCCCCACACTCCATGGGAACCCCCAGCCAGAAGAACATAAGTGAGTGGGGGACGCCAGGCTTCTCCCCATGACCTTGGAGCCTCCCTTTTCTTCCAGGAAGTTTTCCTAAACCTTCCCTCCACGCCCACCAAAGGGGTAAGGTGACTGAAGGAGAAAAGGTGACCCTGCAGTGCCAGAAGCCAGACTCTGAGACTGGGCCTAAAATGTTTGCCCTACTGAAGGCAGGAAGTCCAATGCCCATCCTGCTCCAGGGTCCAGCAGAGCGGGAGACAAACTTCTCTCTTCAGAATGTGACAGTCAATGACACTGGGCAGTACAGCTGTGTCTACTACCAGACAACAGGTCCTTTCTGGGCCTCACATCCCAGTGATCACCTTGTGATCTGGGTGACAGGTAAAGTTTTACATGATTTTTAGGAATTAAAAAAAAATTTAAACAAGAGATCCTTGATCTGTTATCCTTGGATTCTCATTTCTACACCACTTGCACTATCATCTCTTTTTAACATCTTTTGTTTCCTAATTTTCACTCTTCTGCCTTTTTGTGTTCTGCATGTTTGGATAATTTCTCAAGCTGTTCTTCAAAATGATCAATCCTGCCTTCATTAGAATCCCTTCTACTACTCTCTGCGTCTCTCAGTGTTGGTTGATCTTGGTGATAGTGATTTCATTCCCAACAGCTCTTTTTTGTTCCCAGAATGTGGCATCCCCACAGCCTCCTGCTTTGGGGTGATGGATGCCATATCTTTTCACATCTCACAGCACTTACTGTTAAAATTCTTCTGACGTTATCTTGTTTCCTGCCAGAATTTTGCTCCACTGGCTGCTACACACTCTACGTTTTCAGCTTTGTACATTTTCTTTTATGCTGTTGAGTTCCCATGATTTCAGTGAATGTTTTATGGTTAGAAACAAAAGTCAGTGTGGTGAGTACTGTGAGGTGGAGAGGGTTTCCTGATCACGGTGGTTTCATTATGTATTTCTCCCTCTGGATTTTGTCTTCAGGGAACATTGTTATTGATGGGTTCGGAGATGACTTTTGCACTAATTGGGATGCACGAGGTGGGATGATATAAATGCGGGCTTCTCTTTAGGAACCAGGGCCAATGCCAACCTTCAGCCCCTGTTGAGTGAAGCTGCAATTAAACGCACAGTGGTCCAGGAGCTTAGCTCCTCAGCTCAAACTTTCTTAAGCTCATTACCTGCAAAAAGGTTTCATTCTATGAAGAGAGACGCAGATGGAGCCACTGAATTATTTCAGGGCTCTGTGGGGCAATTTTGATTTTTTTGCATAGCTCCCTAAGATGAATTCCTAATATATGGATGGAGAAAGGAAAAAGGAAACGCAGGAAGATGGAAATGAGATAAAGAGCAAATAAATGAAAGAAGGGTGATAATGTGGAGGAATATGAAGGGAAGAAGATGAAGGAAGAGCCAGTACCATTCTCACAAAATCCAATATCTTGTTTTCAGTGATTAAAACTTCAGTGAAGGTACAGCTGACCACTGGCCAGGAAATATAAGTGGGTATGTGAGAGTTGCACTTGGCAGATCCATTTGAGAAGAAGGGATATCTTTTTATGGCTGGTGCTGACCCTCTTCTCTGTTTCATTTTCCCCAGATGCCACATCAAGAGATTACACCACGGGGAACCTCATCCGACTGGGTCTGGGTGCCATAATTTTGGCTATTATGGGGGCTCTCTTGGTTGAATCCTGGTGTAGCCAGAAGGAGTCTCAAAGTGGATCCAGGTAAAACAACTGAGCATTTCTCTTTTTCACGGGCTGTTGTAGAAGCGGGGGTCTTTAAACATCATACTTCACCATGGGACCTTACGTTTTGCAGTATGGCCACAAACAGCGTTTCAGGTGGGATTTTTCTTCATCACGTATGACTCTTCTGTTCACTGTAGGAACGTTTAGTATCTCTTTTCCTTTCCCATTAAACAGCAGTTGAAGCCTCAATCACTGTGGAAGAAGAAAAAAAGCAGGTACTACCACACCTCTTCAAACATCCCTGGATACGGAGGATGGGGAGAGGGGTGGTGTTCTTGGTTGAGAACCTGTGTTTGGAGGCTGTTGAGAAATTATATTCTTCCTCTTCCTCCTTTCCTTGATCTTAAGTCTGTCCTCTACTCATAGGTCCCACAACTGCTGGGGTGGGGAAGACAAGTGCTTGATCAAGCTAGACCTGCTGATTCTTAACAGTTCTGTGGATCCTGCATTCTCAGCTCTCTTGAGAGCCACTGCAAGGCAAGAGGATGGCTTTCTTCTTCCTGTACTGTTCACCTGGGGCCAAGAACAGGACTGAGCATAAAGACTCACCTAACACGTTTTGATGTGGATGATTGGAAAAAATACTGAAAGCTTCAGAGTCAGGCTGGGTGGCATGTTTGGTTGAAGGGGCAGGAACCATTCTTCCACTGAAAAGTGAAGAAAACATTGCTTCCTGTATATTTATTATTGCTCCCCTCCATTCTCACTGTTTTGTACTTTTGGACCAGCAATTAGCCATTGAAATTTCTGTATTTACCACAGATGTCTTTTAAATTTTATTTCATATATTCCCAACATTTTACCTCATTTTGGGAGAATTCCACTGTATTCCCTGGCATCCAGTTCTGCCCAGTTATATCCAGTATTTCTGGCACAGGTGTAAAAAGTCATCCATTATATTTTTACTTTCAAGATCTGTGGTTGTTTCTTGTTAATAATCTTGGTTTTTTTTTCATTAATACTCATTCTTATTTTAGAACTATTATCTCCTCCATTATAGTTCATGAGATATACTTATGAAAACCAAGTTCTGATTGTAATAGAAACGATTGTCTCAGATCTAAGTTCTTCATTTCATCTGCTTCCTTTCATTGTGTCAACTTTCATCAGATCATGGATGAGTTTTTTTTTTTCTGCTTTATTTCCCAACCCTCCCCACCCCCCGTACATAGTTGTATATCTTAGTTGCAGGTCCCTCTAGTTGTGGGATGTGGGACGCCGCCTCAACGTGGCCTGATGAGCGGTGCCATGACCGCGCCCAGAATCTGAACCCTGGGCCGCCACAGCGAACTTAACCACTTGGCCACGGAGCCGGCCCCACGGATGAGTTTTGCTTGTTTTCTCATCATTGAAGTTGAGATCTTCCTTTCATAGCCGCTGCAGTTGTGGATAAGATTAGGTGAGGGCAGCCTGTTTTTGTCCTCTGCACTCCTCAGGGTGTTGGGGGAGAAGACTGGGCTGCGTATCTTGTGACTGGCATTCTCAATGTGGTGGCTCCTGGTAGCCTCAGATACCAGGAGAATTTTTCTATCCCTCTCACCCAATTAGTAAAACTATGGTTCCTACTGAGAATAGACCCTTTTGGCTGCTATCTGGTCAAGAGGAGTCAAATGAACAGAACTCTGAATTTATAGCCAGTACGGGTGTGGAACATCAGACGGACACCAACTGCTCCCTCTACAATGACCTCTTGCCTCAGTCTCCACCTTGGCCACTCATGGAACAGCTTCGGTGATGTTCCCACTCTGTAATGCATGACTGTCCACATCTATTTTACATTGTGTTTTTCCTCTTTAATTGGATCCCACTTTTAAACTTCTTATTTTGAAATCCTTATAGATTCACAAGAAGATGCAAAAATAGTCAGATACTTGTGCCCTTCAGCCAGTTTCTCCCAATGGTTCCATTCTACATCCATTACAATATCAAAACCAAGAAGTAGACATTAGTACAATGTGTGTGTACAGTTCGACATTATTTTATCACATGTTTAGAGTCATATAGCCTCAAGCACAATCAATCTACATACTGATCTAGTCTATCACCGTAAAGACGTTTCTCATGCTGTTCCTTTACACCCACCTCTTTCCAACACCATTCTTCGACCCTGGCCACCACTCGTTTGTTCTCTACCTCTATAATTTTGTCATTTTCAGAATGTTTTATTTGACATCACCAGGTTTCCATTTCATGATACTATCTTTTCTTAACTAAGCTTAATTTATACGTTAAGCTGGATCTTCACACCTCAATGCTTCCCTCTGCCCTGATCTGCCAACAGCAGATTGAGAACAAGTGGTTGGAGTATCCAATAAATGCAACTGTATGTGGGACAAGGGCTAACGTATGTTTTCGCCTTTCTAAAATATCCATTTGGATTTTTTGAGACTTGTTTTAGAGCACCAAGCAGTGAAGTTGGTACCATTTGGATATCAAGGGGTGAAAACACATAACAACAAAGATTGGATCAGAAACCTTTAAGGATTAAAGCTAAGGTTGTCCAGCTAGTACTTTCCCATGATAGGGCTTCCTCAGTCTCAGCAATTCCTTACCTCGTCAAATGGGTGTGGCTCATTACGGTACGAGGCAGGGATGGGTCGAGCTGGTGGGAGGAAGGAAGGACGATATTGTAAGGCCTCATCATTTCACATCCTGGTAAAATTTCTCAGTCATACTTAAAAGGGGGCATCTCAGCAGTTGGTCAACATGCATTTGTAGAAGCCCTACTATGTGCCAGGACCTGTGTAGACACTGGGGATGCTGAGGTGAATAGCACAGAGTCCCTGCCTTCCAGGTGCTCACAGGTAGTGGGTTACCTCTTGCGTTTCCCATGGCTAGAGGTACACATACATCCATAAACTCTCTTAAGATTTTACAACCAGATTGACATCAGAATCATGGTGGCATGAGTCATTCTTTTTTTTTCCTCTCCTCTTCAATTTACAACTAGTTGGGCATCCATAACGAAACACTAGCTCCTCTGCACAGCACACCAGGACACCTGAGAGGTCCATCCATCTGTGCATCCAAAGGTGGGGGGCCAGGACCTTGGAGAAGGCCATGGAGCCAAGGGAGTTGTGGTGGCACCAAGCTGTGAATCTAAGACTTAAACATAAGACCTGACATCATAAAACTCCTAGAAGAAAACAGAAGAAGCTCATCAATATTGGTCTTGGGAATGAGTTTTTGGACATGATGCCAAAAGCACAAACGACAAAAGCAAAAATCAACAGATGGGACTACACCAAACTCAAAAGCTTCTGCACAGCAAAAGAAAGAATAAAAAAATGAAAAGACAACCTATAGGACAGAATATTTTTGCAAAGCATATATCAGATAAGGGGTTAATATCCAAAATACATAAAGAGCTCATAAAACTTGACAACAACAGCAACGACAAAGCAATCCCATTAGAAAACGGGCAGAAGAACTAAATAGACATTTTTCCAAAGAGGACACCAAAATGGCCCAAAGGCACATGAACAGATGTTCAACATCACTAACCATCAAATCAAAACCACAACGAGATATCGCCTCACACCTGTTAGGATGTTTACCATTAAGAAGACAGGAGACCACAGGTGCTGGCGAAGAGAGAACCCTTATAAATTGTTGGTGGGAATGTAAATTGATCCATCCACTATGGAAAACAATATATGCAGGATCCTCAAAAAATTAAAAATAGATCTACCACACGACCCAGGAATTCCAATTCTGGGTATATACCTGAAGGAAATGAAAACAGGATTTTGACAAGATATATGCACTCCCGTGTTTATCACAGCATTATTCACAATAGCCAAGACGTGGAGTCAACCTAAGTGCCCATCAACAGATGAGTGGATAAAAAAGATGTGGTACATACATACAATGGAAGATTATTCAGCCAAGAGAAAGGAGTATATCTTACCATTTACAACAACAGGCATGGATCCTGAGCACATTATGCTAAGTGAGATGTCAGATAGAGAAAGACAAATACTATATGATATCACCTATATGTGGAATCTAAATCTGTAAAAAACAGAGAGTAAAATGGTGGTTACCAGGGAATGGGGGATGGGGAACAAAATTGACGTTGTTTAAGGGTACAAACTTACAGCGAGTAGTAAATAAGCCATAGAGATCTAATCCACAGTATAATGAATATATACGATAATATTATACTGTAATTATGTAATGTGATAAATATTGCTACAAAGGCAATCATATTATGATATATAAATGTGTCAAAGTGACATGCTGTACATCCTAAATTTACATAATGCTACATATCAAGTTTATTTATTTATTTGTTTTTAAAGGTACACTTTTTTCTTCTTTTCTTTTGGTGAGGAAAATTGGCCCTGAGCTAACATCTATTGCCAATCTTTCTCTCTCTTTTTTTCCTCCTCAGAGCCCCAATACACAGTTGTATATCCTACTTGTAAATCATACTAGTTTTTCTGTGTGGGCAGGCGCCACAGCATGGCTTGATGAGTGGTGTGTAGGTGCCCATCCAGGATACGAACTGGGGAATCCTGGGCCCAAAGCAGAGTACCCAAACAACCACTCCGCTAAGGGGCCAGCACCTTAAATTAATTTTTTTAAAAAGATGACATGACATGAGTAAGCATGTCTAGTATGCCCTATTTCAAGTCTTCAAAAAGTATTAAATTGGGGTGGCATGGTGGTTAAGCTCCCACATTCTGCTTCAGCAGCCCTGGGTTCGCCAGTTCAGATCCCAGGTGCGGACACAGCACTGCTTGGCAAGCCATGCTGTGGCAGGTGTCTCACATATAAAGTAGAGGAAGACGGGCACAGATGTTAGCTCAGGGCCAGTCTTCCTCAGCAAAAAGAGGAGGATTGGCAGCAGATGTTAGGTCACAGCTAATCTTCCTCAAAAAAAAAATATTAAATTGGTTAAACTAATAGCAAGCTCTGAAAAGAAAAACAGCTCCTTGCACATTTAGACTCTTCTTTGGGATGCCACACCCAAAGCACCAGAAATCAAAGATCCCCTCTCCTCCTGGCAAGGCAGAGGTGGTGGAAAAGCGGAGGCAGGTCCAGCAGTTGCACCAAGTGCCCCAACCCACACTGCCAGCCCCTCCAGCCCCCCCTGGCCTGCGCGCCCCTCTGTGCCAGGCGGCTGCCCACGGGAGCATCTCCCCCCGGAACACGTGGTCATTTGGAGACTGTGGTTGTCGCCGTGGGGTCGCGCCAGCCGGGAGCTTGCAGCCGATACTCACCCATTGGGAATACTGTTCTTCCTTTCTGTGACACGAGAGGCGTGGGGATCCCATGACCCAGGAACTCTGCTCTAAAGCCTCATACGGAACAGACGCCATGGCAACTGCAGCCACTGGGATGCTCACCCAGGCTGCGAGTATACAGATGGAACCCACAGCTTCCCGAAGGCACACACTGCGCATGCTCAGAACCCACCGGCTGAGGCGCACATTGTGCGGGCCTGTGGACCACCTGGCGGTCAAGCCTGGGGAGAGAGCATGAGGCAGGCGGCAGTTGTGGGGTGCAAGCATCTGGATCAGCGCGGGCTGGTTGGTGACCTCTCCTAGTGCACAGTAAATGATGCGTCCTGCCTTCACTGCCCAGAGACAGCAAAAGTGCACTGTCCATCCAGGTGACTGTTGTCCTGCCCGTTAACGTCCCCCAACCTGTCCCTCTCAGGCACCCCAGTACTTGAGCTGGTTGGAGCCCTGCTCTGTGCAAAAATCCAGTGCCCCAGCCCCCGTGTCCCCTCGCCCCCCAGTAACCAGGGCCAGACCCGCAGGGGCCATTGGGACTTGTAGTCCCCAGGGCCTGGTCGACCTATTAGTCATCCCCTTTGTGAATTAACAGGGTTGAGAAACACTCCATTTTACAGGATTGGAGAGCGGTGCTTGATTTGCATCAAATCCAGGTTCACATTATTTATTGAGTGCCTTCTGCATGCTGAACACCTTGCTAGGATTGGGGACAGTAGATGAGTTCATGCTCCAATCGTCAGCTTCACTTCAGGTTGAGCAGAAAGGTGAACTTGCAAGATAGAATGTAATGACCATGAATGAGATGAACTTTGCTGGTGACGTCAGCAGCAAGGCAGAGTGAGCTCTCCCAGTAAACTCTCCCCCCAAAAATACAAGGAAAAGGACATTCATATTCCAACAGAGGATGTCCACACAACACAAAAGATGTCTAAGAGACCCACACAGACATAGGTCAGGAGGTGGAGGTGCTGGAGTACGCCCCTCCCACCCCAGTAGGTGGAACGAGATAAGAGAATGTTTCTCTTCCTCCCTGAAGGAGAGCGACCCAGGGATTACCTGCAGCCTCAGGGAGGAAAGCAGAGAGGGAGCAGCAGCCCTCGGAGGGAACACCATAGATCTCTGAGGTCCCTCACAGACCAGGAGAAAGCCCCTCACAGAGGGGACCAGCTGTCTCAGGGGTGTGTCCTTCAAGCCAACACCAGGAAAGCCGATAGCAAGGGCAGAGCGAGAAGCCTCTGAGATTGCACAGGAGAAGAAAGTGCCCCACCCCACCATCTGGTGCCCCAGACTCAGCCCCAGCCCAGCACCTTGGAGCTGTCCCAGTGATTTGCAGCAGGCTCAGAATACAGAGCTCTTGACCCCCACCCAGTGGCGAAAGGTAGAAGCGGCAATCAAATACTACCACAATGCGGAAGTACAAATCCATGCTATATCACAGTATGAAAAAATATATTAAATCTCCAGACCAGAAGGAAAATGGCAAGTACCCGGAAATCAATCCTGAAGACACGGAAATCTATAACCTAAATGACAGAGAATTTGAAATAGCTGTCATTAAAAAACTTGCTAAGTTAAAAGAGAATGCAGATAGACAATGAGTTCAGGAGGTACTTCACAAAAGAGATTGAAACTATAAAGAAGAACCAATCAGAAATATTGGAGATGAAAACCACAATAGATGAGGTAAAGTAGAATATAGATTCTCTGAACAGTAGAGCTGATATAGAGGAACGAATCAGCATGATTGAGGACAGAAATATAGAAATGCTTCAGATGGAGGAGGAGAAAGAAGTAAGACTGAAAAGAAATGGAGAAAGTCTCTGAAAATTATCCTACTCAGTTAGGAAATGCAACATAAGGATTATAGGTATTCCAGAGAAAGAAAGGAGGGAAAATGGAGCAGAAAGCATGTCCAAAGAAATAATAGTGGAGAACTTCCCAAACCTGGAGAAGGAGATGGAAATTTATGTGAAAGAGGCCACTCAGACAAGGGATACAAAAGAAAAAATAAACAAGTGGGATGTTATCAGACTAAGGAGCTTCTGCAACGCAAAGGAAACCAGGATCAAAATAAACAGACAACCCACTAGTTGGGAGAAAATATTTGCAAATCAGATATCCAACAAGGGGTTAATTTCCATTATATGTAAAGAACTCACAGAACTGAACAACAAAAAAACAAACAATCTGATCAAAAACTGGGCAGGGGTTAATAACAGACATTTCTCCAAAGAAGATATACAGATGGCCAATAGACACATGAAAAGAGGCTCAACATCACTAATCAAAGGGAAATGCAAATCAAAAGTATACTAAGATACTACCTTACACCTGTTAAAATGGCTATAGTCACTGGGACGAAAAATAACAAATGTTGGAGAAGATATGGAGAAAAGGGAACCCTTATACACTGCTGGTGGGAACTCAAACAGGTGCAGCCACTATAGAAAACAGTATGGAGAGTTCTCAAAAAACTAAAAATACAAATACTATATGACCCAGCTATCCCACTACTGTGTGTGTATCCAAAGAACTTGAAATCAACAACTCAAAGTGACTTATGCACCCCTATGTTCTTTGCAGCGTTATTCACAATAACCAAGATGTGGAAGCAACCCAAGTGCCCATCAACAGATGATTGGATAAAGAAGATGTGGTGTATATACATATACAATGGAATACTACTCAGCCATAAAAAAGACAAAATTGTGCCATTTGTGACAACATAGATGGACCTTGAGGGTGTTACGGTAAGTAAACTAAGTCAGATGGAGAAACATAATTATGGTATAATTTCACTCATATGTGGAAGATAAACACATGGATATGGAGAATGGATGGGTGGTTACCAGAGGGGATGGGAGTGGGGGCAGGGTGAAAGGAGGAAAGGAGCACATATGTATGGTGATGGATGGAAACTAGACTTTTGATGTTGTACACGATGCAGTCTATACAGAAGCCAAAATCTAATAATGTAAACTTGCAATAGACACAATGTTGTAAACCAATATGACCTCAATAAAAAAAAATTAGATGAACTTGCAAGGTAGAATGTGGTGAACAAAAATTATGAATTACATGTACTATTGGAGGTCAGAAAAAACTTCCTGGAAGATGTGGGGCTTGAATCAGGCTTTGAAATGTGAAATGCTTAGATTAGGTGGAAACTGCAAAAGTGAAAGGATGGAGGTGGCAGGGAGTATAAAGAGTCTGATCTGGCTACAGTGGCAGGTTTATGTTGGAGCGTGGTGAGCAGGGCTCAGGTGGGGAAGTGGACCCGAGGGTCTTTTGGCCTCAGTTTCAGAAGGGCCTCTGTTTTGAGTTTTTCTCCAATGGAAACTATAAGTACAGGTGTGGAGACACATCTTCAGATAGAAATAAAAGACATCACAGGACTTCCTTGTGTCCAGTATCTGGACCTCATGGCCTGTGTTGCTACATGAATCCATTTTTGTAAATCTTGTAATTAACTTGTGAGTAGCGCGATTACATTGCATTGTGTATGTGTTAGACACAAACTTTCAAAACATACTACAGTTTTTCTAAACTGTTTTTACACTTATTCAGTTTTTATGAAGCAGAAGTCTCACGAGAAGTGAACTCCAATTTTCTTGACCTACAGGAGCAGGTTATGATGCTTTGGGGCTTAGTCCTGAGAGCACTGGACGGTTTGATGCTTTTCAAAGACATATATATGACCTCAATATATGTCTTCATATGCGACTTCATATATGTCTTCATATAAGACATATATATGTCTCATATAAATTCAAAGATCAGAAAATCCTTTGTCAGCCCACTTGTGCCTACTTTTTGCTTTCAGAAAATAAGATTATAGTTAAGTAAAAGGTATTAATTTTTGAACTTGTCAGGTAATGAAACACCTGCAAGTCATGATGCTTTTCATAAAACGCTGTGAAATAATGCTATATCACACTTAACTAATTCTAAAATCTGAGGGTTAAAGTCCCTTTTCCATATCCTAGTACCAGTAAAGGGTAGCTGGTGCCATATGTTTGATGAGTTTTGATTTTGACAAAAAAGAAGATTTTGCAAGCAAATGACTGTATTTTAATTTATTCTATTTTACTTTGTCATCCAGATCACCTAGAAGCCTTTAATATGGGGGGCAGTTCCTGGTCACTTGATCCCAGATGACTCTCTTAGGAGACCTCAGTGGCCACTTTGGGTCTTAGATAACGTCAGAAAATAAATGAGGGGCCGGCCCGGTGGCGCAGCGTTTAAGTTGGCACGTTCTGCTTCTCGGCAGCCTGGGGTTCGTCGGTTGGGATCCCGGGTCCATGGCAAGCCATGCTGTGGTAGGCATCCCACATATAAAAAGTAGAGGAAGATGGGCATGCATGTTAGCTCAGGGCCAGTCTTCCTCAGCAAAAAGAGGAGGATTGGCAGTAGTTAGCTCAGGGCTAATCTTCCTCAAAAATTAAAGAAAATAAATGAGATCACGTTCCATCTCCAGGCCTCCCAAACTTCCCCCATGTTTGGTACCTTCACTCCCGGGGTGGAAGAGAACCAGAAAATCTAACACACTGTTAACTCAATCAAGGACTCGTTCCTTTGGGCAGCTGTGGGCCTGTGGGTAGAGAAGGACTGACTTGAGATCAAGGGAGGGGGGAAGAGGAGGAATATTTCTGCTGGCTGCCAAACACAGGTTCTCCCCCAGAAGAATACCACCCCCATGCCCCATCCTCTATATCAGGGCATGTTTGAGAAAGTATGATAGTACTTCCTTTTTTTCTTGTTCCGCAATGATTGAGCCTTCGATGGCTATTTAATGGGAAAGGGAAATTGATGCTAAATGCCCCTGCAATGAACAGGACAGTCCCATATGGGAAAGAAATATCCCACCTAAAATGCCGTTTGTGCCCATTTTGAGAAGCATAAGAAGTCCGCATGGTAGAGCCTGGCGTTTAAAAAACCCCATCACTACAACATCCCACGAAAAGAAGGAGTGCTCAGTTGTTTCACCTGGATCCACTTTGAGACTCCTTCTGGCTATACCAGGCTTCAACCAGGAAAACCCCCATAATAGCCATAATTATGGCACCCAGACCCAGTCGGATGAGGTTCCCCGTGGTATAGTCTCTTGATGTGGCATCTGGGGAAAATAAGAGAGAGAAGAGGGTCAGCACCAGCCATAAAAGAGTCTCCCTCCTTCTCAAATGGATCTTCCAAATGCGACTCTCACACTCCCACTTGTATTTCCTGGCTGGTGGTCAGTTGTACCTTCATTGAAGTTTTAATCACTGAAAACAAGACGGGATTTCACGGGAGTTCTAGTGGGATTTCCTGCATCTTCTTCCCTTCGTATTCACTCTGCCTTATCGCTCTTCTTTCATTTATTTGCCCTTTATCTCATTTCCACGTTCCCGTATTTCTTCTTCTCTGTCTCCCAATGCATATTAGGAATCAGGCTTAGGAGCAACATTAAAGACCTAAGGAACACCACAGAATGGTGAAATTCAATGGCTGGCTTAGCATCCTCGAAGGAAACCTTAATTTTATGCAGGCAGTGAGTTTTTCAAAAGTTTGAGCTTCTCGGCTAAGCATTTGGGCCACTGTGCATTTCAGCTTCACTCAAGAAGGGCTCAAGCTTGGCATTGGCCCTGGTTCCTGAAGAGAAGCCCGTATTTGCATCATCCTACCTCTTGCATCCCAATTACTGCAAAGATCCTCTCTGAACCCAACCATGTTGCTTGGAGACAAAAGCCACAGGGAGAGTTTTATAAGGATGCTCCCAGACCAGGATGCTCTCTCCACTTCTCAACACTGACTATACAGACATTGATTCTAATTATAAAATGTTCGCTGACTACATAGTACGACTGAAGAGCATAAAAGAAAACTCACAACGCTGCGGAAGCAGAGGGTATAGCATCCAATGAAGCAGAATTCTGGCAGAAAACAGAAGATAATTTTAGAAGAAACTGCATCTGTGACACAAGAGCAAGAGGCTGTGGAAACACCGCGGTTGAAGAAAAAGAGCCACTAGGAATGAAATCAATATCGCCAAGATAAACCAACACTTTAGGAGATGCAGAGACTGGTAGAAAGGATTCTAATGACGGAAGGATTAATGATTTTGAAGAACAACTAGAGAAATTATCCTAGACTATAGAACAAAAAAGGCAAAGGAGTAGAAATTATGAAACGAAAGATTTAAAAAGGAGGTGGTAGTGAAAGTGATGGAGAAACAAGATTCAGAAAGTAATGGAACAGGTGGCACAGTGGTTAAGTTCACACGTTCCACTTTGGCAGCCCGGGGTTCGCCGGTTCAGATCCCGGGTGAGGACCTACACACTGCTTGTCAAGCCATGCTCTGCCAAGTGTCCCACATACAAAGCAGACGAAGATGGGCATGGATGTTAGCTCAGGGGCAGTCTTCCTCTGCAAAAAGAGGAGGATTGGTGGCAGATGTTAGCTCAGGGCTAATCTTCCTCAAATAAATAAATAAATAAATAAATAAATAAAATAATTTAAAAAAAGAGAAAGTAATAGAACAAATACTCTTTGATTTTAAAAAAACACTTCTTAAAAATTGTGCAAAACCTTACCTGTCAGAATTTAGAAAAATAGAAAGTAATAGAACAAATACTCTTTCATTTAAAAAAAACCACTTAAAAATTGTGCAAAACCTCACCTGTCACCCAGATCACAAGGTGATCACTGGGGTCTGAGGCCTGGAAAGGATCCTCTGTCCGGTAGTACACACAGCTGTAGTTTCCAGTGTCGTTGACTGTTACATTCTGAAGGGAGAAGTCTGTCTCCTTCCATTTTGGACCCCGGGTCTGGACGGGCATTGAAGTTCCTGCCTTCAGCAGAGCAAACTTTACAGACCCCTGAAAAATGTCTGGCAGCCGACACTGCAGGGTCACCTTTTCTCCTGTGGTCACATTACTCCTTTGGTGGGTTTGGAGGGAAGGTTTAGGTAAACCTCCTGTAAGAGAAGGGAGGCTCTGAGGTCATGGGGAGAAGCCCGGGGTCCCCCGCTCACTTGTGTTCTTCTGACTGGGGGTTCCCATGGAGTATGGAGAATGACAGATGCCTCATCTCACCCTCTTTCTGCTCTGACTCCAGGAAGGAGATTCTCCCTCCTGTCAGCCCTGGATAAAGCCAAGTTTGTCAGCTCCCTTCCTGTCTGTCTCCATCTCCTCCTCCCCAACGGCACTGGAGGTGAGACACCCCGCCCCCTCTTGCTCTGGTTCCTCCACCATCCCCTGTCTCTAGGAAGACCACGTGCCATGCTGAGGCCCCCTCCTCACCTGTCACCAGCAGCAGAAGGACATCACTGGGCTGTGAACTTATGTAGGGTCTCCATCTTCTGTAGTATTCACACGTGTACTCTCCAGCGTGACTGATTTTCAGATCAGTGAGGTGAAATTCAGCCAGGCCCTCTGCAGAATCAGGTGATTGTGAGGACTCAATGATGTGTCCTCCCTTTCTGAGATCAAAGTTTACATCCTTGGTAGGAGTCCTGCATCGCAGCATCACATTACTTTTGGCCGGTACCACTGAGCTAGGCCAGGCACTGAGAGAGGGCTTGGGAAGTGAGCCTGGAAGGAAGCAGAGTGGAGGGTTGGGTTTGGTTCTCTCACCTGCTCTCAGGGAGCCCATTTAAAGAAGGGAAAGGAAAATGGGGCCTTTGGGGCTGAAGGATCAAGGAGGGTTTAATAGAAGAAACACTCACCATCCCTTCTCCTGTATCCTTGGCCAACACAAAGCCCTGCAAAAGAACGGTCCATGACACGTAGGCATCAGCCTGGAGCCCACACCATCACTTGCCCTCATCCCTGAGGGACCCTCCCAGGGGCTCTTGCTGAGAAGGAACCCTTGGAGGTCATGCATTTGGGAGTTCTCATTGTCTCTATGCAAGACTCTGGCTTCAGCTCTGCACTCAGCTCCTCTGTCACTTTTCACAGAGGTTCTCCTGTGCAGCTATCACCTCCCAAGGCTCCAGGACCTTTCTTGGTTTCAGAAAAACCTGCAGGCCCTCTCATTCTCCGCCTCCATCCTGAACCATTCAGTCTTACCATTTCTATTAGAGTCTGTGGTGTTTTCTGGATCTCTCAATCTTGGGTGGGAGGCACTAACCATGAGGGAATTGGGGAAGCCTGTGACTGGGTGTAACCCTATCTTATCTCTTGAAGTTGTCTAAGCTCCTAAGTGACCGTTAGTTTCCCCTGAGAGTGTCATCTGGGATAGAGCAACCAGGAACCATCCCCCATAGTAAAAGCTACTTGGTGCTCTGGGTAACATAAATTAAGACCAAATCATTTGATTGTAAAATCTTAAGAGAGTTTATGTACCTCATGCCGTGGGACACACAAGATGTCACTAGCCTGTGAACATCTTGGAGGAGCTACTCTGCGTTATTCACCCCAGCATCTCCAGTGTCTACACATATCCTGGCACATTGTAAGATTCAACAAATGCACATTGACCAATTGATGAGATGCCCTGGTTTAAGCATCACTCAGAGAGATTTTCAAGGATGAAAAAAAGATGCAAACTTATAATAATGTCCTTTCTTCATCCCATCAGATAGACCAGCATGAAGAGGTTGAGGGCCCCATGGAATATCCTAGAATCTAGGGATTAGAAAATATGGTGAAGACTAAATTATAGCACTGTGACCTCATCAAGCTAAGACCCACACACTGTCCCTGTGTGTGGAAAACAGGTTTTCTTGGCTCCTGCAAACAGACATCCTGAGATGCCCCCAGCTCCACACTCAGGGACGTTTTGAATCTTTCCTCATTTATCACCTTAGAATTTCTCCAACCTGGCATCTGCTCACTTATCCCCCACAACCTTTCCATTCAGAAGATCCCGTGCATGTGTCACTCTTCATATACTATTATGACCAAGTGGAAATAGCAATGACTTTGAAGCCAGGCAGGCATGGGTTTGAATTTTGACTTTTCTGTTCATTCTCTGTATGACCCAGGGCAGAAATCCTCAGCTCTCCATGTCAGAGTCTTCATTTATCCATTTGGACCTAATTCTCATCAGGCAGGGTTGTTTGGAAGGATCAGAGTCCTATTTCTCACAGTGTGGAACATGAACCACAGGTGTTATATGGGATCATTTTAGATGATGCCGTGACCCAGTATCCTATAGGATTGATCAAGGGATCAGCAAGTTATTGTCCTTTCAAATCACTTTCATCTCTTTGATCACAACGAGGAGAATTTTTCAAACTAAAGATCAGCATTTGCACACAGCTATGTCTGTCTTATCACCCTTTGTAATAAGGAAGCAGCCAGCCAAGGGCTCAGGAACTTGACAGGCAACAGTGCCTGATTAGAATGTCATGTTTTCTTCCTTTTCATTGTATGTATGTTTACATTAACCTCCTATTTTTGGTAAGCGACATTGGATTTTCTTTTAAAGTTTATTTTTTATTTAAGCTATTGGCATACAGTTTCTATCTTCAAATGAATATACTTATTTAAAATAAAGATATTGAGTCAATAAAAATGAAAATTGAAATAAATAGAGTACAGGCATGTAGGACAGATCATGGATATGGAAAGGAAATATTGGCATGCTGAAAAACCCTTGATTGGTAAGATGTATCTAAAGCTTCCTGCAGGGTCCCTAACACCCATGAAACAGTCATTATGAAAAGCTGATGCTGTCATATCTCTTTCCAATTATATTAGTCACATTTCTCTCAACCTACCCTCACCTCTAATCCTAACATACAGGCCCAAGAAACTTACCAAAGCAGATGAAGGAAAGGAGTTCAAGGATCATACCGGCCCTGTAGCTTGCTCTAGGAATCTTCTTCAATTTTCAACCACAGAAGGGAAGAAAACTCGATGTAAGCCATGACGTCTTTCCTCTAGCCCTTCCCTTCCTTCCTCATATGTGACCCACGGGGTTTTTCTCACAACTACATTTAGGAAACAAGAAGCCATAAAATGTTCCACTAAGTCTTTTTTTTTTTTTTTTTTTACACTTTTTGGTGAGGACGATTGCCCCTGAGCTAACATCTGTTGCCAGTCTTCCTCTTTGTTTTTTTCTCCTCAAAGTCCCACTACATAGTTGTATATGCCAGTTGTAGGTCATTCTAGATCTTCTACATGAGATGCCGCCCCTGCATGGTTTGATGAGCGGTGCATAGGTCCGCACCCAGGATCCGAACTGGTGAATCCCAGGCTGCCAAAGTAGAGTGCACAAACTTAACCACTCAGCCATAGGTGAGTGAGGGCCAATATTCCTCACCAAAAATCATTAAAAAATAAAATAAAATTCATTAAAAACGAAGAATACAATAATTGGAGTGACAAATACACTAGAGGGAATCAACAGCAGGTTAGATGATGCGCAAGAATGGATCAGTCATGTGGAAGACAGGATGGTAGAAATCCCCCAGTTGGAACAGCGGAAAGAAAGCTAATAAAAAAAATGAGGGTACTGCAACATGACTAATAATGATATACGACTGTAATTTCACAAGGTTGTTAACTATCATAATCTTAATAAAAAACATGAGGGTAGCTTAAGGAGCCTCTGGGAAGACATCAAGCATACTAACATTCTCATTATAGGGGTCCTAGAAGGAAAAGACAGAGTGAAAGGGACAGAAAAACGATTTGAAGAAACAATGGCTGAAAACTTCTCCAACCTGGGGCAGAAAAGGGACATCCAAGTTCAGAGAAGAGAGAGATTCCGTAATAAGATGAACCCAAACAGGCCTACACCAAAACACATTATGATTAAAATGTCAAAAGTGAAAGATAAAGAGAGAATCTTAAAAACAGAAAGAGAAAAACAGCTAGTTACATACAAGGGAGCCCCATAAGACCATCAGTGGATATTTCAGCAGAAACCTTACAGGCCAGAAGGGAGTGGAACAATATATTCAAAGTGCTGAAAGGAAAAATTTCACAATCAAGAGTACTCCAGCCAGCAAGGTTATCATTCAGAATGGAAGGAGAGATAAAAGAGTTTCCCAGACAAGGAAAAACTAAAGGAGTTGATTACCACTAAGCTGACCTTACAAGAAATACTAAAGTTCCATCTTTAAGTGGAAAAGAAAAGGCTATAACTTGAAATAAAATTATGAAAGAAAAAATCTCACTGGCAATGGCAAACATATAGTCAAGGTACTGAGCCAAGCATCTATCCAGCTAGTTTGAAGGTTAAAATACAAAAGTAACAAAGTCATCTATATCTACAAGAATTAGTTAAGGGATACACAAAGTAAAAAGACGTAAAATATGACGTCAAAAACGTAAAACATTGGGGGGAGGGCGTAAAAATGTAGAGCTTTTAGGACACCCTCAAACTTAAGAGACCATCAACTTAAAATAGACTGTTATATTCATAGGTAGATATCTATGAACCTCAAGGTAACCACAAAATGAAAACCTATAACAGATACACAAAAAATAAAGGGAAAGGAATCCAAACATAACACTGAGGAAAGTCATCAAACCACAAGGGAAGAGAGCAAGAGAAGAAAGGAACAGAGAAGAATTATGAAAACAACCAGAAAAGTTAACAAAATGGCAAAAAGTACTTACCCATCAGTAATTACTTTAAATGTAAAAGGAGTAAATGTTCCAATCAAAAGACATAGGGTGTCTGAACAGATAAAAAAAAACAAGAACCAGTACAACTGAAATCTCACAAGGTTGTAATCTATCATAACATTAATAAAAAAAAAAAATTAAAAAAAAAAAACAAGAACCATATATATGCTACCTACAAGACACTCACTTCAGATTTAAGACAGCGTGATTTCAAGATTGCTGTGAACCAGTGATTGCTCTGTGCCTCCCATTCTTCCCCCTTTCAAATGGGAGTATTGTGGTTATCCTGTCCCTGTTTCACCATGACATGGCAGATGCATGGGGCAGCCAACTTGTCCTTTTAGTTCATGAGTCTTGGATCAAAAGGACCCCCAGCCAGACTTGATAATGATCACTAGATCCTGAATTTAGAGACTGATGCCATTATTGGGTGAAAAATTTTGGGGGTCCTGGGATGGGGATGAGCATATTTTGTACATGAGGCAGATATGAATAATTGTGGTCAAGAAGTCATAATGCAATAGATTGCATTAATAGCCCTTGACTATAGATTCATCCATGTTATTTGCCTTAGTCAATAGGATAAGGTACAAGCGGCAATATATTAGTTCCCATGTAGGTCTTTAGATGCATCGAATATTTTGATTCACCCTCTTGTGCGTCTTCCATTTCCATGAGAAGAACATGTGAGGGCTAGCACACTGTTCCCAGGAGGAAGATGAGGGACATGTGAGCAAGAGCCAAGTTGTGCCAACTAAACGCAGGTAGAGCTGGACAGAAATAAGCTGATCTGAGAGAGATGGAGGGCATGGGTGCATATGTGCATTCTCACACTCCTATTACTAGTTAGGACTGAACCTTTGTGACTTCAAATCTTCATAAAAATCAGAACTCATTTTTCATTGGTAATTTATTGGAAGCTTAACTCTAGAGAAATTGCACTTAAAAAAATGTCAATTGCAGGACAAAGTTGAGGTTGAATCAGAGAGTGACGAGGCTATATGAGCCTCAAATAAAGTGTCTTTTATAGGCATGAAGTGACCTAGAATAGGGGATTTTATCCACTTATCTGTCTTCTCTTTCAATCTCAATCTCCTCAATAATTTCATTCCAATCAGGGGGACTCAGTCAATTTTGTTCTTATCGAGTGTATGAGAATCTGCTCCTAGATTGTTCCTCAGCTGTGTGTTGCCTCTTTTAGGGTATTGTGTATCTGAAGTGTTGGCATCTGCTTTGAGATGTGCTGTAAGATTTTCAAGCCTTATAACATTGTGTATCAGTAGAGAACCATATTTCCTCCCCACCCCTCAAATCTTCAGGCATGGGATCTAATAATTCTAGGAAATTCATGTGTAGGTATTATAACATGATGGCACCTGCACATGATTTCAGTGCCCTTGTGGTTAAAGGATAGAAGAATTGTAGACTAGTTCTTGAAATGAGGCACAACTCTTGGCTGGGCCACAGCCCGATATGGGCAGAAAAAGGCACATAGTGAACACTATTGATTTTTGTATATCCACCTACTAATACCCCATGTATCCTGGGAAGATTATCTTGATTGGGACATTAACCAACTATCTGTCATCCACTCTCTGTGGCTAACTGGGACTGATCCAGCTTCCTAGTTCCTAGTGTGCTCATGTGCCCCAGAGAGGCACCCCACTGTAATCCATCACTCCGGCTACATCTGTCCATGTAGGAATGGACACATAAACCAAGCTCAAGCAATGTGAATCGGCTTCAGGAATTTTGTTGCAAGCGTCTGGAAAAAGCACACTATTTCTTCCTGGAGATACCGATGGGTATCCTCCCAGCACAGGAAGAGAACCTACTTGAGAACAAAGTCTACACAGTAGAAAGTGGCACCTAGACATGGAGAAAGACAGATCCCTAATGCCATAATTTGAGCATCTGGGCCCACCCATGCTTGAACTCAATACAACTCTAGTGTTTTCAGTTATGAGGGGCAATCATCAGTCAACAAAAGCCTCAACTAACTTAGGAAGCAATCAGTAGCTGGGAAGGAAAGATGAATGGATGTTGTAGTTTGAGAGAGGAATCTCCTCCCTTAATTCATCAATGTTTCTTCCTTAGCTCCTAGAAGATGAGATTACTCTCTTGCTACTTGGGAAGATAGTTGAGTGGAAGCTTTCCAATTTCCCTTAACCACTTTCTCCCCTGTAAAAGAAAGCACATTAAAAATCTGACTGTTTTGTGACCTATTTTTCAAGGTTTACTGGGGGACAAGTTTACTCAGTCTCAAAGGCAGAAACATCCATTTCTGTTTCCTTGTTGACCTACCCGCTCTCAGGGGCAATGAGTGTCCAGCTTTTACCAGAGATCCCTGTACTTTAGATGTTACTGTGTTCTTGCCCAGCCATTGTGTTGTGCCAATGCCAATTTTTTGGTTTTGATAATGTACTGTAGTTATATTACCATTGGGGGAAGTTGGTTCAGGGGTACGTGGGAACTCTGTACTATTTTTTGTGACTCTAAAACTATTTCAAAGTAGCTTTTTCAAAGAAAATGTCTTGGGCCAGACTTCAGATGAGATAGGATGGATCTCAGGGTGGTTGGAGCCAGAGCCACACACACCGGATTTGTGGGGAAGATGTCATCATTGATGACTTCTTGTTTCCTGAGTCGGTTGCAAGAAGGAAATTACACCAGGTGATGGTGAACCAAAGTGTCAGGACAAAACCTCACCTCACACATCTTGGGGACAAAGCAGGCAGGAGGGAGCTGCAATTGTCCCCGGCTCACTTCTTCCTCTGAACTGTAAAACTGAAGACGGGATCTTGGTCCTGGCAGAAGGGACGCTATGATCGTAGAATTTCTGTCCCTGTTTTGCCTCGGTGAGTCTCCAAGACTGGGACTGTGGCAGATGGGTTAGGATGGGTGAGAAAAATTCACGGTGGAGTGGGGGTGAACAGGGGAAACATGGAAAATACAGATATGATGGCTTTGTGTGTTGGATACATGCTAACTGTCAGAGTTTTGTGGGCTATGGTATCAACATGCCTCCCTTCTGCTGGCGCATAAGAGATGAGGAACCTGAAGTTCAGAGATGTGTAATAATACCCTCTGTTTACTCGGCTGAGAAATGCAGAGCTCAGATGGGATCTCCTCGTCTGTATCGTCTAAATACCCCAGTCTTGTCATGCATGTTCCATTGGCATATAAGGGGGCGGGGTCTACAGGGTGTGAAAAGCTGTGAGTTTGGGTATAAATGAAGAATATAGAAAAGTCCTATGCATGGGGATGACGGGTAAGAAGAAAATTTTCTGGCCAGCACTATCCTTAGCCTAATTTTTACCATCCTCAACTTGAACATCATGTAATCAAACAGACCTCAGCCTGTAAAAAGGAAGACCTAGATTATATTCTTGGCTCAGTCTCATAGGAGCTCCAGGGTTGACTCAGTTCCACCTCACTAAGCCCCCAGTTCCTCCTTCATGAGTGGGGGTTGTGGAGGACATCAGGACTCACCATCTGCCCCAGTTCCTTCCTCCTTCTTCTGGGTACAGCCCTTCTCTTTGGGGTATGCACCTCTTCCACACACATTTGAGCTTTAGAGGTGGCTGTCGGTCACCATACCCCAAACCTCCAGCTTCAAGGGAGTATAAGCCAGGAAGTGAAGAGACTGACCTCATCCTTGCCGTAGTCATTTCTGAGGGCTGCAGTAAAAAATTACCACAAACTGGGATGCTTAAAACAACAGAAATCTATTCTCTCACAGTTCTGGAGGCCACAAATCCAAAATTAAGGTGCCAGCAGGATTGGTTCCTCCAGAGGTCTCTGACGGAGAGTCTGTTCCAAGCCTTTCTCCTCAATTCTAGGGGACAGTAGGCAATCCTTGGCGTTCCTTGGCTTGTAGATGCATCACTCCAGTCCATCACATCTTCACATGCCCATCTTCCCTCTGTGTGTTCTCTCTCCATGTCTCTTCTCCTCTTTATATAAGGACATCAGTCATATTGGATTAGATGCCCAGCCTACTCCACTGTGACCTCATGTTAACTTAACTAATTACATCTATGAAGATAAATAATGCTATTTCCAAATAAGATCACATTCACAGGTACTGGGGGTTAGGATTTGAACAGATCTTTTGAAGGGGCACAAATCAACCCATAACACCTTCCTTCTGGCTATAATCACTTTCCAGGGATGGGTCTATGATGCAAGACAAGCCAGTCCAATTCTGTCAGGAATTTCTCAAATTGGCATTGAGATTTGAACTTCTTTCCTCTACAAGAGCAACTTTCCAAAGATGCAAGACTGTAGCAGCCCATGGTCCTGCTTCCAGGCTCTTGGTCCTATCCAGACAATATCCAGAGGGAGCTAGAGATGAGAGCTAAGAGAAAAGAGCCTAACAGAATCGAACCTCTGGATCAGGCTGTTCTGGACACCACATCCACCACTGTCCTTATTGAGGTTGCTTGCATGAACTAAAACAACTAATTATTCTTAGACTTAATCTTATTTTGGGTGGACTTATGATATTTGAATTTGTATGAATCTTTATTAGAGATGGTAAAAATACCCAGCTTACATAAAATTTAAAAAATGTATTGAGGTAAACTTCACATAAGATTAACAATTTTAAAGTATACAATTCAGAGGCATTTAGTACATTCACAATGTTGTGCAACCATCACCACTACATAGTCCTAAAATGTTTTCATCCCCCCTAAAGGAAACGCTGTACCCACTAAGCAGTCACTCTCCATGCTCCCTTCCCCCCTCCCCTGGAAACCACTCCTCTGCTTTCTGTCTCTCTAGATTTATCTATTCTGGATATGTCCTATGAATGAAATTGTATAATATGTGACCTTTTGTGTCTGACTTCTTTCCCTTAGCATAATGCTTTCAAGGTTCATCCCTGATGTAGCACTTATCAGTGCTATGTTCTTTTCCATGGCTGAATAATATTCTACACAAAAATTTTAAGCTTTCTGATAAAGTATTCAAAGGATCTGTGAAATTGTAGGTATCCAGTTATTAGTAGTTCCAATCTTGACATCAAGTAGGGTTCTGCACCCAATTCTGATGTGGAGAGAGAGGGGCATTCCCACACCACCAAGCAATTGTCTGAGACAAACTGGGTATCTTACAGTTCAGCTCAATTCTGACAATATTTACCTGAAGATAGTGTCAGATCCCACAGGTTGAGGGCTCAGTCCCACCAGACTACTCTCCCTTCTAACACCAATCTCAAGCCCAGGTTGTCATCTGTGTTTCTGACCAACTGGCTACAGATGGAAGGTTCCACTGACCCCCTCCTTGGGTTTAATTAATTTGCTAGAGCAGTTCTCAGAACTCAGAGAAACATTTTACTTACCAGGTTATCAGTTTATCATAAAAGGGTATAACTCAGGGAACAGCCGAAAGGAAGCGATGCATAGGACAAGGTATGGGGGAAGGGCAAGGAGCTTCCAAGCCCTCTCTGGGTGTACCACTCTCCCCAAATCTCCACATGTTCACCAACCGAAAAGCCGTCCTTTTGGGTTTTTATGGAGGCTTCATTACATAGGCATAATTGATTAAATCATTGGCCGTTGGTAATTGAACTCAATTTCCAGCCGCTCTCGCCACCTAGGATGAGGTGGTGGGACTGAAAGTTTACACCCGCTAATCACGTGATTGGCTCCAATGTCAACCAGGCCCCATCCTTAGGTGCTTTCCAACAGTCAACTCATTAACATAGCAAAACACACCTTTACTGCTCTCATCTCTTAGGAATTTCCGAGGGTTTTAGGAGCTCTGTGCCAGGAATGGGGACTAACACCAAATATATATTTCTTATTACAAATCACAATATCACAGCAGTTTTTATTGTCATCTTTTCTAGGGGAATGTGGTTTCTGTTCTCTCCCACTCCTCCCTATCTCAGTTGAAGGTAATAGCATCTAACCAGCATGGAGATTGTACACATCTCCATTTGATGCATGTAAAGACCTTACTAAATGTTAGATGTATGACAAGTGGCAGAGAAAAGCAAAGATGGTAGCTGCACCATAAATGATAGCTGTCTGTAAAGGACCTGCTAAATAATGTGCGTGCAAATGGTGGATGTACGTAAAGAGTCTGCCAAATAATAGATACTGGATATCTGGTATTTTTTTCTTTTTACTTTTTCCAATTGAACTATTACTGCTACTGCAGAAAATTGGGGTGCTCTGCTTGACGTGCATAAACAAGTACAGCATCAGCCTTTGGGAAAAGAGATCAGCTTTATTCTGTGAGATCAATCTGCATGGAGAACAGGGGGCATGCACCCTCAGATCTGTCTCCCTGATTCGGGATTTGAGGTTAAATTTAAGAGGTTAGGGAGAACAGGCTGACATGGAGAGATGCTGGTGAGACACGTTTTAATTGGTGGGCTTCAAGCATTTATGATAAGGTTTTAAACATTTATGACAGGGTTCTAAACATTGATGATGAGATTCTAAACTTTTATAGTAGGGTTCTAAACATTTCTGATGAGGGAAGGAAGGAATTTTAACACCAGGTCTCCCTGACTGAGGGACTCCTTCCTTCTGATCAGAGTCCAACTCTCAAGTTCTGGTCACGTCCACTCCTTGGGTTCTATGGGAAGGAGGATCTTTGGTTCCACGGTCATTTCAAGTCAAGATTTCTTCATTTGCGCATGCTCTGGCTACGTGACTTTGCAGATTTTCTGAAAGGCAATTCTTAGCCACTCTGCTGATAAGAGATGGGGTTAGTTGAACCGGTCCTGGAGGGCCTGCTGTTACATTATTCCCATACATTATGTTAGTTTCAGGTGTACAACATTTCAATGTTTATAAACGTTATGAAGCGATCACCACGATAAACCTAGATACCATCTGTCTCCCTATAAAATTGTTACAATATTATTGACTATATTTCCTATGCTGTATATCACATCTTTATGGCTTATTTATTTTATAACTGGCACCTCTAATCCCCTTCACCTATTTCACCCAACCCCCCACTCCTCTTCTATCTGGCAACCACCAGTTTGTTCTCTGTATCTATGAGTCTGTTTCTGCTTTGTTTTGTTTGTTTGTTTCATTTTTTAGATTCTACATATAAGTGAAATCAGATGGTATTTGTCTTTCTCTGTCTGATTATTTCACTTAGCATTATTGACCCTCTAGGTCCATCCATATTGTAGCAAACAGCAATATTTCATTCTCTTTTATGGCTGAGTAATATTCCATTGTATATATACAGTATACCACAATCTTTTTATCCATTCATCTACAGATGGACACTTAGGTTGCTTCCATAGCTTGACTTTTGTAAATAATGCTGCAATGAACACAGGGATGCAGATATCTGTTCAAATTAGTGTTTTCATTTTCTTCAGGTAAATATGCAGAAGTAGAATTGCTGGATCATGTAGTATTTCTATTTTTAATTTTTTGAGCAGCCTCCATACTGTTTTCCAAGGTGGCTGTACAAATTTACATTCCTACCAACAGTGTGTGAGAATTCCCTTTTCTCCACACCCTTACAACACTTATTATTTGTCTCTTTGGTAATAACCATTCTAGCAAGTGGGAGGTGATATTTCATTGTGGTTTTAATTTTCATTTCCCTGATGATTAGTGATGTTGAGCATCTTATCATGTGCCTATTGGCCATCCATATGTCTTCTTTGGAAATATGTCTGTTTGGATCCTCTGTCCACTTTTTAATCAGATTGTTTATTTTTTTGATATTGAGTTGTATGAGTTCTTTATATACTTTGGATATTGACCGCTTATTGGATATATGATTTGCAAATATCTTCTCTCATTCAGTAGATTGCCATTTCATTTTGCTGGTTTCCTTCACTGTGCAAATGCCTTTTAGTCTGATGTAGTTCCATTTGTTTATTTTTTCTTTTGTTTCCTGTGCTTGTTGAGACGTGATATTCAAAAAGATGCTGCTGCTAAGACTGGTGTCAAAGAGTGTACTGCTTCTCTCTTCTTCTAGGAGTTTTATGGTTTCAGGTCTTACATCCAAGTTTTTAATCCAATTTGAATTAATTTTTGTGTATGTTGTAAGATATTGGTCTACTTTCATTCTTTTGAGTATGGCTGTCCAGTTTTCCCAACACTATTTATTGAAGAGACATTCCTTTCTCCGTTGTGTGTTCTTGGCTCCTTTGTCGAAAATTAGCTATCCACAGATGTGTGGGTTTATTTCTGGCCTCTCAAATCTGTTCCATTGATCTGGGAGTCTGTTTTTGTGCCAGTACCATGCTGTTTTGGTTACTATAGCTTTGTAGTATATTTTGAATTCAAGGAGTGTGATGCCTCCAACTGTGTTTTCAGGGCTCATCTTTCCTGTGCAGAATCTAAGGGTCTGGATACCTGATGTGGAGCTGGAATCCCTTGCTCCTCAGGGAAAGGTTTCGTTCCTTTGAGATCACTCCCAATTGTGGATCACTGTGGCTGAGGGGTGGTTTTTTCTTGGTGAGCCCATGAGTCTGCCTCTGGACCCTTCTCAGTGCTGTCCTTTTACTATTTGTCCTGGAGGCTCTGTTCATCCAATTTTCAGGTCCTTTTCAGAGGGAATTATTCCAAATGTAGTTGTAGGTTTGTTGTGTCCGGGGGAGGAGGTGAACTCAGGATCTTCCCATGTGGCCATCTTGACCTCTGCTTTGGTAGTTTTTTATTGTAATTATCTCCCGAAAAATGTGCTTCCTGATGTTGCCCATTCCTCCCTACCTGGGAATTCTAGTAATACTCCAAAAACTATCTATACACCTACCTTTATTCTTCACTTTTTCAAGTTATCCTGGATGACAATGGGTCTCTTCTCATTAATGACAGACTTCTCCATTGCAGCCAATTCTTTGTCTTAATCAAGTGTGGTCCCTTACTAAGAAAGGTGAATAAGTTCTGAGGATCAGCACAATGTACAGCATGGTGACTAGAGTTAATAATTCTGTATCGTACACTTGAAATATGCTAAGAGAGTAGATTTTCAGCATTCTCACACACAAAAAAGGTAACTATGTGAGGCGATGGATGTGTTAAACAGCTTGATTGCAATAATCATTTCACTATGTATATGTACATCAAATCATCACGTTGTACACTTTAAATATATTACAATTTTATTTGTCAAAAAATAGAACTGCTCCCCCAATTCTAACAGCCTATTCCCCCAAAGGGTTTTGTGATGTAAAACGAGCTAAGGGCAACTGTGTGCTTATTTTAAAAAAAAGAAATAGGAATCACTATTTGAACAGAAGATTGACTGATCACAGAGCTGAGATGACAAGAGTCTGAGGGCAGGATTTGGGAAGGGACTGAAAAGAGACCATGAGACCTAAGACCCTTTGACCACTCAGAGGCCAATTCCTTACCTGTTCATCCCAACCATTCTCACCATCACTGCAGCCTCGGTCCATTGTCAAGCTCCCACCTCTTTCCTTCTCAGTGAAGCCTGGGGGTCTGTGCTGTGAGTTGATTCCTGAGTCAAATTTCTTGTGTCTAAAGAAATTCTAACTTCACTTATGAACAGACTCTGAGATCAGTGTCCCATTTCCCCCAGAAAATGAGGCTGGGGTCCCATATTTCCATCTATGGGATGATGTTCTCATCCCAGAAAGAAATATAGAGAACAAAGCACAGAAGATATAGGGGATAAAATATTTAAAGAGCAAAGCCACACGTGAGGAGAGCCTTTGAGACGAGAAAATGTCTTGAATTCTTTGTGAAGAGAATGACCTGGTCAGGGAGAGCAATTTCTCTCTGTTTCAATGAGGGAGGAAATACTCCCTCGACGCTCCACAGTAAAATAACCCTTGCATTATTTAAGTGATAAGAGTAAAAACTGCATTCGAGGAAAATATAGGTAAACATTCAACAATTGCTAGATGGCAAAAGAAGGACTAATCATGAAAGCAACGCAATAAATCAGAAAAGATTGCTGTTTTTTTCTACATAAACATGACTTCTGAAGGACACACAATGGGATGAAAATCAAAGGTAAAAAATAAACCCAGGGAAATAGCTAGAAGGATTAGGACAGATCTTTAACAAATTTGTCATGTGTTCTCTGCTGACTTGTACTCAAAGACAAGCACATCATTCATCTGTCATGAGGTTTTCTCTTCCAGGACTTTGTCTGGGCCATGAAGATGAGAAAAAGAATGGTGAGTTGTCTCCTACGTAAACTCTATTTGTTTCCGCATCCCAAGTTTCATGACCTATTCCCTTTAAACCATTGAATTCTAGGAGGGCGTGGTGAAAAGTCAAACTAACTCTGAATTCTTTCCAGAGAAGCTTCCTAAACCCTCCCTCATCGCCTTGCCCAGCTCAATGGTTGAACGCAGTAGTAACGTGACCCTGAAGTGCCAGTCTCGCATCCAGAATGTGACATTCATATTGGAGAAGTTGCAGGATTCTGGGTACAAGCGGGAGCAGAGATCAGCAGGACACCATGTTGAATTCCTCCTCACTGACCTGAAGCTTAAGGATGCTGGAACTTACTTTTGTTCCTACAAAACAATGGCCTCCCATGAGTGTTCAGAGAAGAGCGAACACCTGCAGCTGATGGTCACAGGTGAGAATGGCAGACTCAGGTTTACTCTTTGATGTACATGTTTCTTTTCTTGTGATGAGATCTGGCTGGGGAAGAAGGAATTCAGGAAACAAAAGGACAGACGCAACACTTTCAGTGTAGGGAACTGGGGAATAGAGACCGAGTGTGGGGATAAGGCTCTTATTGGGGATTCTGAGTAGATCTCAATGATGTAGATGTGGGAGAGTGTTTTAGAAGAGAGGCATTAATAGAAAATTTGACATACAGTAAGGCCAAAGATGGAGAGATGCTTGTCATTGAAAAGATAGTTTGTTACAGTTTCCAAGAAGAGGGGACATGCTGTGCCATGCAGGACCACACAGAGAAGCACCAGGGTCAGTCAGGAAGCAGAAGGCAGGGGGCAAGAACTGTGGGCAAGAGCCTTTATTGTGGTTTCTGTGAGAAGAAAGAGGCTTAAGATTGGCTCTTGGCTATAGAGGCTGTCCCTGGTTGTCCAGGACATGACCCTGGAGTGATTAGGCCAGGGGAATAGTGGCCCTGAGTGTGAGAGCCCAGTGAAGGAGGTGGTTGGGAGTGTGGGCTCTGGATGGGTTGGTCTGCATTTGAAAGGTGTGCTCCAGGGAGAATTATTTCCCATCTCTGGGAATTGGATAACCCCGGAAGGGGAATCCCTTCAAGCTCAGCAAAGTTCCAAGATATCAAAGCATCAAATGCAGAAAATAAAAGACAGGGTTAATACAGAGAGGTGGGTGAGAACTTCCCCAGGTGCAGTGGAATACTAGAAGCTCTCTGCCCTTCCCTTTATCCTTAGTGCCTTTTCCTCTTCAGGATCAGTCCGAAAACCTTCCTTCTCAGTCAACGTAGAGGCTGAGATGACTCCAGTTTGCAGTATCACACTCTGATGTCTGATTCCACACAATGGAACTGAATGCATCATTATTGCTCTGCTGAAAATGGGGATCCCAGAACCGTTACAAGTCAAGAACATAGGAAGAAACCAAACTGAGCATCATGGCAGCATAAGACATCCCTTGTTTTTGTCCTCCACTCCAGCAACAAAAATTCGGCATCCATCCACGAACAAAAGTGCCTCTTTGGGAGTTGTGGGATCCAGCACCATACACCAAGGCAACTAAGAGTCTTGCCCAGCTGTGCACTGGGTAATGGGCAACAGACGTCGGCTGTGGAACCTGTAGGAGACCGTAAACCAGTTCTGGCCTCTCTTGGCTGTGGTCCACGAGCATCTGGAGAACACGGACTTGGGTAATCACCTATGGATGAGAAAGCCTTTGTGGAAGTCTACAAACCAAGACTGGATCAGGAAGAAATAGAAAATCTGACCAGATCAATGATGGACAAGGAGATCAAATCAGTAATCAAAAACCTCCCAAGAAAGAAAAGCCCAAGACTAGATGGTTTCACTGGTGAATTCTACCAAATGTTTCAAGAAGAAATAAATCCAATCCTTCTCAAATTCTTCCAAAAAACTGATGAGGAGGGAACACTCCCATACTCATCTTACAAGGCCAGTACTACCCTGACACCAAGCCCAGATAAGGATACTAAAAGGAAAGAAAACTACAGCCAATATCCTGATAAAAATAGATGCAAAAATCCTCAACAAAATGTTAGCAAGCCAAATTCAATGATACCTTAAAAGAATCATACAACATGATCAACCCAGATTTATCTTTGGGATGAAAGTATGGTTCAATATACACAAATCAAAAAATATGATACATCATATCAATAGAATGAAAAATAAAAATCGTGTGATTATCTCAACAGATGCAGAAAAAGCATTTGATGAAATACAACATCCTTTCAAGATAAAGACTCTTAACAAATTGGGTAAAGAGGGAACATACCTTAACACAACAAAGGCCATATACAACAAGCCCAATGTTATAATCATACTTGATGGTGAATAGCTAAAAGTTTTTCCTCTAAGATCAGGAAGAAGACAAGGATACCCACTCTCCACCACTCCTAATAAACATAATACCGGAATTCCTAATCAAAGCAGTCAGGCAGGACAAAGAAATACAAGCCATCCAAATTGGAAAGAAAGAAGTAAAGCTGCCTTTGCAGATGATATGACCTTATATATAAAAAAATCCTCAAGACTCGACCAAAAATCTGTGAGAACTAACCAACAAATTCAGTAAAGTTGCAGGATATAAAATCAACAGATAAAAATCAGTTCTGTTTCTATATACTAACAACAAAATGTCTGAAAAAGAAATCAAGAAAACAATCCCATTCACAATATCATCATAAACAACGAAATACTTAGGAATAAAGTTAACCAGGGGAGTGAAAGATCTATGTGTCGAAAACTACAGGACTGATTAAAGACGTTGAAGCAGACACAAATAATGGAAAGATATCTCATGTTCGTGGATCAGAACAATTAATATTGCTAAAATGTCCATATTACCCAAAGCCATCTATAGATTCAGTGCAGTCTCTATCAAAATTCCCATGGCATTTTTGCAGAAAGAGAATAAACAACCCTAAAATATTTATGGAACCACAAAAGATCCTGACTACCCAAAACAATACTGAGAAAGAAGAAAAAAGCTGAAGACATCACATTGCATGATTTCAAAATATACTACAAAGCTATAGTAATCAAAACAGTATGGGGCTGGCCCAGTGGTACAGTGGTTAAGTTTGCACGTTCCACTTCAGTGGCCCGGGGTTTGCCTGTTCAGATACCAGGTGCTGACCTATACACGGCTTGTCAAGCCATGCTGTGGTAGGCGTCCCACATATAAAACAGAGGAAGATGGGCACTGATGTTAGCTCAGGGCCAGTCTTCCTCAGCACAAAAGAGGAGGATTGGGGCTGGCCCCGCGGCCGAGTGGTTAAGTTCACGTGCTCTGCTGCAGGCGGCCCAGTGTTTCATTGGTTCGAATCCTGGGCACGGACATGGCACTGCTCATCAAACCACGCTGAGGCAGCGTCCCACATGCCACGACTAGAAGGACCCGCAACGAAGAATATACAACTATGTACTGGGGGGGCTTTGGGGAGAAAAAGGAAAAAAATAAAATCTTAGAAAAAAGAGGAGGATTGGTAGCAGATGTTAGCTCAGGGGGCTGATCAGGCATCGAGCTCAGGGGGCTAATCTTCCTCAAAAAAAAAAAAAAAACAGCATGATACTGGCATAAAAATAGACACATCGACCAATGAAACAGAATTAAGAGCCCAGAAATAAACCCAAGTATACATGGTCAACTAATATTTGACAAGGGAGCCAAGAATACTCAATGGGAAAGGATGATCTCTTTAACAAATGGTGCTGGGAAAACTGGATATTCAAATGCAGAAAAATGAAATTGGACCTCTATCTTACACCACTCACAAAAAATAACTCAAAGTGGATTAAAGACTTAAACATAAGACCCAAATCCATAAAACTTCTAGAAGAAAACAGCGAAAAATCTCCTTGATATTGGTCTTGACAACGACTTTTTGGATATGACACCAAAAGCACAAGAAACAAAAGGAAAAATAAATAAATGGGACAATATCAAACTAAGAGACTTTTTCACAGCAAAGGAAACAAGCTACAAAATACAAAGGCAACCTACCAAATGAGAGAAAATATTCCTGAGATAGGGAAGATTGGCAAGGAATAGGATTGGAAGGGGAGAAATTAATGGTGTCATTCATAAATATTTTTACTAAAAATAACATCAAACTCCAGGAGTACTAAGAAGAGTAATCCAATGCTGGCCCTAGTTTGGGGACACAGCGAGCATCTAGAGAATGGAAAATACCTTCTCTTCTCTGCTTCTCAAAGAGGGCATAGGGTCCCTAAGTAGAGCATGAGCACTTATGTCCCCAAAGTTTCCATATAATCATTGTGATTCCTTCTTTTGCATTCTGTTTTGTAGATTACCACGATGGACGTGTAGCTCCTTCAATAAAAACAGGTAAAATAATTAGAGAGGAGTTGTTTTTTCAATTACATCCACCTCATGGGGCAGGGATCCTCTTCATTTAAGAGGCACAAGAAGAATCTTAATGCCCACTTTCTCAATGCTATTGGAGGAACGACTTCCTTTTGGAGGGAGACGACCTCCAAGCCACTCCTGTGTTCTGAAAAAGCTAATGAGTAAAACAGCACAGGGAGCATCGTCTGCCATTTCATGTAACGAAAAACTGCAGTAGAGTTTCGTGAAGAATGGAGGTGAGTTTGTGTGACTGGTTTGGGGAGCAAGACTGAGACCCGTGGAGTCCAGGTTCTTTGGGAATATGTTGCTAAGAGTTTAAAGTTCTCAAAAATAGATGAATATTAAATTCTTTTTCTTTGATGTTGCTTTTCCATGAAGAATTGACTAAGATTTTGTCCTCAGAGATTCTCATAAAAGTTAGAACTTTCAGCACCTTTAGACTGAAACAGGAGCTCATCTGGACTTTAATGGCCAAGCATATAAATTGGCAGCAAGATGCTTAATCATCCTTTCTTTCAGCAACTCATGACTTCCCTGTAATCTACTCCAAAGAGCCAAAATTGTTCAAGGTTGTCATTAGAATCTATGTTGGTATAATCCGGTTTTTTTTAAAAAGGTATCCTCCAAAATGTCCTTGCAAATAAGTAATAGGCTTTGAAAATGTTTCATTCAGTATTAGCAGGCTTGGGAAATGATTTCTACTCCAGTTATGAGCATAGTTCATACTAGGAATGTTTTCTTGGGGAGATCTGAGATCTGATAGGGTGAAGGAGCATGGGAGTATCAGAAATGAAGTGGGAAATGTAGTGATGTAGGAGAGAGACATACATACAATTGACAAATATCCTACTCTGGACATTTCCTATAAATGGATTCACACAATATAGGCTCTTTTTTGAGACTGGCTTTTTTCACTTAGCGTGATCTTTTCAAGGTTCATCCATGTTTTAATGTGTATCAGCACTTCATTTCTTTTCATGGCTAACAAATATCCCACCGTGTGGATAGACCACACTGTGTTTGTCCATTCTTCAGTTGATGAACATTGGGGTCGTTTGTACCTTTTGGCTATTGCAAGTCATGCTGCTATGAACATGGGTGTGCAAGTATCTCAGTTCCTGCTTTCAATTCTCTTGGGTATCTACCTAGAAGCAGAATAGCTGAGAATATGGTGACTGCATGTTTAACTTTTTGGGGAAATGCCAAATTGTCTTCCAATGTGGTTGTACCGTTTTGTAGTCCCACCAGTAATAAAAATGGCTTCCAATATCTGCACACCCTTGCCTACACTTTTTCCTTTTATTTTATTACAGCCATCCTAGGGGATGTGTATATAATTTCTTAAGATGTACTTTCTGAGTTCAGATTTATATCACAACAATTCTAAACAGAATAAAATATTTTTAAGCACAGATATGCTGTCCCCAGCCTCACAGCTACCAGAAAAGGACCCTCTGCTCCAATACTGTGCAGAGACTGACGATGAATTTCATCACCTAACTTTGACACAAGGCCAGGCTTTCTTTCTGGTGCCTGTGACTTCATTTATGTCCCATGTCAAGCTGTATCCCATTGCTCAGTCAGATTCCTTCAGATCAATATCATAGACCCTTTGTAATTTACTATGACAATTTGTAAACAGTGATATGAAATTTGACCAGGATATGTGGACATCTCAGGGTGAACCCAGATAGGCAGGTTGTGGGGCCCTGTGAAGAGCACAATTTTGTAATAATTTACTTCTCATTTCTGGGGAATTTCTGCATGAGAGAAACCGCAGGTTGGGCAAAGAGAGAGTTGAAAGGATAAGGAAGGCTGACGTTTCTCTTCTTCCATGGAAGGCCCCTCATGGTCCAGGAACAACCTTCCTGCCCTGCTTTCATACGTCCGTGGAGATGCACCGATATCATTGGTGCTTTTGAGGGTCTCTTGGATTCAGTGCCACCAGAAGCAGACTCTTAAATAAGTATTAGTGTGACAGTGACATCTTAGGAGAGTGGGGAAGAAGGGTTAGGAGGAAAAGAGACCAAACAAAGGTGGGATATTCAGGTCCCTCAGCTGGTATCTTTTGCTCAACCCTGCAGGAAAGTACAAGAGATGGAGAAAGTCACCAATATAGGAAGCCATAGCTAGGGCATCCATTTTCCCACGAATGGCAGTCATTGGTAAAGGGGTGCCCTTGGGGCACGTAATCCCAAGGGATTTCAGATCCTTTCAGGCAGTCCCCTGGCAGAGATGCAAGTGTTCACGTTGGAAAGGGAAAGAAGCCATCATCTGGAGCGTGTAAAAATGGCAGAGGGATCTGGGGAACACGGAGGGAGGAGCATGACAGCATCTGCCACAGGGGGAGATGGTGTGGGTGGAATATTGGGTGAGAAAATAATCATTATCGCTGCAGGATAATGAATCCTACACAGTGAGTCAGATTCCAGACTGAGCTCTTTAAAGCCAGTATCTTTCCTCATTACCTGTCTCTTCAAGTTAGGTATTACTACCATCTTCCTCCCTCCTTTTCCCCCCAGCTTTATTGAGGGATAATTGACAAATGACAAGATATTTAAAGTGTACAATGTGATGATTTGATATACATGTACATTGTGAAAGGATCCCCGTATTGAGTTGATTAACATATCCCTTACTTCACCTATTTATCCTGTTTTTTTTTTCCTGTGGTGAGTATGCTTAAGATCTACTCTCTTAAATTTCAAATTAATTTCAAACTGAAATTGCAAATTTCAGTTATACAAAACTGTGGTATCAACTATAGTCACCTTGTTACACATGAGATCCCCAGACCATATTCATCTTATAAGTGGAAGTGAAAGTTTGTAACCTTTGACCAACATCTCCCCACTTCCTCCACCCCCAGCCCCTGGCAACCACCATTCTACTTTCTGTTTCCATGAGTTCGATTTTTTTTTTTTTAGATTACACCTATAAGTGAAATCATGCAGTATTTGTCTTTCTCTATCTGGCTTGTCTCACTTAGCATAATGCCCTGCAGGTTCATGCATGTTGTCAAAAATGGCAGGATTTCCACCTTTTTATGGCTGAATAATATTCCACCATACACACTACATAGAAAATTATTCTTGAACTTGGTGAGAGTTTGGACTTTCATTCCTCCGTGGTTGGACTTGTTGCCTCTGTAGCATTACAGTTCGTTGGGGAAATGTGTTTCTCGCCAGATTATAAATTCCCTGGAATACCATCTCTCTCGTATTTCCATACCCAGTGGCCAGCACAGAGCTGCCCTGACTTTGTGCCTGACTGGCCTAAAAGGCTAGACATATCAGGATCCACAGCCCATCCCGTCCGTCTGACTTTGGGCAATTCTTTACTTCCTCATACTTTGTTTACGTTTGAATGAAATGGGAACAGTAAACCTATCTCTTGCGCGTATCGTCAAGATGAGGAAGAACATATATGAAGCACCTAGCACAGAGTGGCTCACAACAGATGATCAGTATTATTGCTATGGGTGAAACATCGATTGGGAACTTTCCACGTGTGAAGCCCTGTGCTAACCCTCTCTATAGTTACTGACTCGTTTCATCTCCCTGCCATCCAAGTGGAGTATCTACTGTTGTTATCCTCACTTTGAACGGGGAAATGAAAGCTCAGAGAGACTAAGCAAATTCCCTAAAGCAATCGGAAGTGCCAGTTTGAAGCGGCAGCTCCAAGTTTTGAAGCCAGGTGGTCTGACTCCTCGTAGCTGCTCTGCTTAACTCTATCAGTGTGTATCAGGAGCCAAACCGACTCTCTGACCTGCTTCTCTCTCTCCAGACACCAGCATCATCATTCTCACCACCTTCAGCCTTCTCTCCATCTTTCTCCTCTTCATCTCAGTCCTCTTCATCTACAGATGCACTAGGCATGGTGAGTTCAGAGAAGCACCTGTTAAAAATGGTGGGGAAGGGGCGTAAAGGGAAGGATTTTCTCCTTAGATAAATTCCTCCCTGGGTTTTTTTTTTTTTTAATAGGTTCATCAAATGAAGAACCTACCAAGAGGTAAACATACCTAACATATCTCGTGTCCCCCTTAACTTGCACTCCGCTCTTCAGGGACCCCACGTGCACGTCAATGATTCCCATGCCCAGCACCACCTCTCGGCCTGAGCTGTGATCTTCTTCCTCCATCCTCTCCAAAGCCCTTATCCTCTCCCCCAGATCTTCAGATCCCATACTTTGAGGTGTTTCTCTTGCAGGACCAGCCATCCCAAATTTTCCGAACAGGAGGCTACAGGTAAGTGACAAGAGAAGAAACCAGAAGAGATGGGATAGAAAGACTGTGTGACTCCTGCAATCTGAGAACTGAATCTTTTTTCTCTCACTCAGATGCAGATTTATCCAAGATGGAAAGGATATCTATCTTGGTGAGTTCTCCCCTTTGGGATTCCCCAAGAGCTCACGGACTATCACAGGCTACTCACGTCTGCCTCCTGGTTTAGCCCACACTGTGCTCTGGTCATAAGGATGCTCCCAACTCACACAACTGACAGGAGGCCAATTGACTGCATGTTTAAAAACAAGTGCTTTGAGTGAACTTGTAAAAACGAGTAGAATGGTGGTAACCAGGGTCTGGCGGGTGGGGGAATTTGGGAGATGTTAAGGGTACAGATTTGCAACTAGTAGATAAATAAGTGCTGGATACCTAATGCACAGCATAGTGATTATAGTCAACAATACTGTACTATAAAACTTCAAAGTTGCTAAGAGACTAGATCTTAATTGTTCTCACTGCAAAAAAAGAAAGGATAATTATGTAACTGTGATAGAGGCCTTAGCTAAAGCTATGATGGTAATCACATTGCAATATATAAATGTATCAAATCAATATTTTGTACACCTTAAACTTACACAGTTCTTAAATGTTACATGTCAATTGTATCTTAATAATAAAAAACAAACAAACAAGCCATGTGCTTTGAATTCCAAAGTAGCTGGATTCCAGCTCCCAGTGCCCATTATTTATCACCAGTGTGCTCTGAGACAAATCATGAAATTCCCACTAATCTGTACCCTTCATTTCTTTCCATATCTAATGGGAATCAACATCTCCATTGGAACAGCTTGGGTGCATCTGGCAATGTCATAAACATAAAGAGTTTATTGGAGTTTCAAGCAAATTTTAAATGTCAGGTGGATGGTATGAGAGCATCAAATAACAAATGTTAATCAATTTACATCAATCAATTTTTCCATTTAAAATACTGTTTATTTGTGATTTAACATTGTATCTAAGAGCAATATCAGATAACATTCATACATTTTTCCATACGACACAGAGGTTCATTGGCTCATTCTTTTTTTTTTTAATAATAAATTTTTTTATTGCTTTTTCACCCTAAATCCCCCAAGTACATAGTTGTATATATGTGGTTTTTTTTTCAGTTGTGGGTCCTTCTAGTTGTGGCATGTGGGATGCCACCTCAACATGGCCTGATGAGTGGCACCATGTCCATGCCCAGAATCCGAACTGGCGAAACCCTGGGCTGCCCAAGCAGATCCGCAAACTTAACCACTTGGCCACGGGGCCAGCCCCGTTGGCTCATTCCTTATGCCAAAGCAAGTAAATAGAGGCATTACCAAAAGGTGCAAATAGTTCACTGTTGCATTTAAAAAATATGTATGCATATTGCATTCATTTAGACATAGATATTTTTTAAAGATATGAAAAAGCATAGTTCACAGATTCACAAATTAAGCAACAATTAACAAATCTTGTCTATTTTAAATGTTGGATTAATGGCATTGATTAGCAAATTGTTGATAATAATGAGTATAATAATATAATATTATGACGTGGTACCTCCATACAATGCAATACTATTTAGCAGTAAAAAAGGGAAGAAATTACCTATACATGTGATAAATGGATATACTTCAAAAACGTTTTGCTCAGTGAAAAAAGCTGCATACAAAAGACTATATATAGTATTGTTCCATTTATATAAAATCTCCAAAAAAAAAAAAAAAAAGCCAGGATGGGGATTAGGGGAGCGGAGCATAAGGTTTAGGCACCAACAGGAATAAGGGAATTTTTGCTCTAAAACTATATTATCGTGATGGCTGCATCATTCTAAAAATCTCACTAAAAGTCATCAAATTTTACACTTATAATAAGGGAGTTTTATGATATACAAATTATATCTCAATAAAATTGTTTAAAAATAATATATTACATAACCAGTAGGTATTCTCATAGGATGGTAGTTCTCATTTCAAAACCATACATTTGCACTGATCTTCATACACGTCAGTTATTATTGATTGTTAGTTTTGTTTTATTAATTTGAGAGTCAAAGCCCTCATCCTCTCAGAAACACGGCCGTTCTAGGATGGCTCAGTCCAACAGAACTTTCTATGAGGGTGGAAATGTTCTATAGCTGCATTGTCCAACACAACAGCCACCGGCCACATGTGGCGGCTGCAGATTTAAAGTGTGTCTGGTGCAACTGAGGATCTGAATTTTAAACTAAATTAAATTTTAATTCATTTAAATTTAAATAGCCATATGTGACTCATGGCTACCATATTGGACAGCTAAGCTCTAAATGCCCACCTCTTTTCCCCAAAGACCGAAGAACCTCAGGAAGTGACCTGTGCCGAGCTAAACACCAAAGTGCCATCTGAGGCAGCGTCTGTCCCCGCCGAGGAGCCCGCAGGATCTTGTGAATGCGCAACGCCGAAGGCGTAGAAGGGGGGTAGCAGGAGCCACTGCAGGAAGAGCTTCTTCCCTAGGAAGGAGAGTTTGGACGAAGACAGCTGAGATGACTGGACATTTGGAAATCCAGGTCATGCTGTGTTCTTGGCTCCTAATCCATAATCGTAAAATTAAGTTTCTCTCTTTTTGCTTCCACACCTCTCAAAAATTACTGGATGGGTTTCCCAGAATTTGGGGTTTGACTTTAGTATGGTTTGACTCAAAACACAGGCTAAGAATACGTCCTGTGGGCTGGTGGTACTCATAATACTCACTTAGGGAGTTCTGGACGACACCACGTAAGTAGAAAATGATTTCCCAGAGAAGCCCATGTGATTGCTGTCGGGTGAGGCATCCTATAGACACAGTGATTTTTGAAGAGGAGCACAAAATACAAGACATTCAGTTGTGAACTAACAAAAGCATCCTTACGTAGCATTCACCCAGGTAAACAGCTAGATGTATTTAGTTCATGATTCTCTTGTGCTGTGCCGGGCAGCCATCTGGACCCGAGTCAAGCCCAGTTTTCTCTCTGACATAAATGAGTTTCCTTAGTGCCATCATATTTCTGTTTAGATTATTATTTTTATTATTAAAATCAAAATATGCAGTGAAGTTAGAGTTACAAAATATATGTAGATTTTGACACTTGGTGCCCATAGCTTAACTAATTTACGTTAATACATCATTGTAAGGATTTTTCTGAGTGTGGTCTTTTTTCTGTGACAGAGGCACCAAATGATCACTTATGCACACCACCAATATACGAGCTTTGCTTCCAAAGTTATAACGCTCAATCAGGTTTGAAAGCTATTTTTTAATATATGAATAAATGAAAGCGTAAAGATTTGGAATGTATATATAAATATCCTCAAATCATAAGTATATGCTGGATAACTTTTCTCTTTTTAATTATGAAATAATTTGATCATAAAGGAAAACACCAAATAATATAAATGGAAATGTGCACACTGACCTTGTTTTCTAGACATCAACATTTTGCTGTGTTTTTATTTCTGCCCTCCCAATCTGTTCTCCTTTCTCCCTCCCCTAGAGGTAAACATTATCCGAGGTAGTGTATATTATGCTTATGTATGTTTCCATAGTTTCACTATATAGGCATCTATTGACGGTCAATATATAGTGTTATTAAAGTATATATATTTGGAATTATATTATATATTACAATTCTGTGGCTTTTTAAATTGCCCTAAACATTATGCTTTTTGAAATTCATCCAGGTGGGTTTTGTGGGTCTAGCTCATTGTTTACTGCAGAGAATTCAGTTATTAACCACATCATGGAATACTATTCAGCCATAAAATGGAATGAAGCACTGTCACATGCCACAACATGGATGAACCTTGAAAACATGATGTTCAGTGCAAGAAGACAGGCACAAAAAGCCACAGAATGTAGGATTCCATTTATATGGAATATCCAGAACGGACAAATCTTTCGAGACAGATTGCAGATTAATGGTTTCCAGGCGGCCTGGGGAGGGGAGAACGAGGAGTGGCTGCACATAAGTATGAGTTTCTTTTTGGAGTGTTGAAAATGTTGTAGAATTAGATTATGGTGATGGTGGTACAACCTTGAGAATATACTACAAAAAACTGAATTGTGCACTTCAGAAGCATAGATTTTATGCTATGTGAATTCCATCTCAATATAAAATAAATTTTTAAAAAGAACTTGGTTGTCTGCACAAACCATGGTTTCTCTTTATTCTTTCCTTGCCTCTAGATGTTTGGGTTTTCTCCAGTGTTGCGCCATTAGCAAAATGCTGCAATAAACATCCTGTGTCTGCCTGCTTGTTCACCTGTGTGATCTCTCTGGGGCATATATTTAGAAGTAAAACCTGTCTTCTGTGAGGTCCACATCTTTAATCCCACTCGGAGAGGCAGACTGATAACTAAGGTGCTTTCATCTATTTATACTTCCATGGATAAACGTATGTGTTTCCAATTCCCCACATCCTTGCCAATTCACAAATATATCAAACTTTATAATTTTTACTTATTAAAGTATGTGAACTCATAACCCATTTTAAAGATAACCTATATAGAGATAACCTATATAAAGATAAAGATATAAATATATCATAACCTATATAAAGATATCTCATTGTTGCATTAATTTGCATTGTCCTGATTAGGAGTGAGGTTTATTGACTATTTGGGGTACCTCTTCTTGAATTGGATGATGAATTGATCATGGATGAATAGAATTGATGGTTTCTATTCACTGTTCACTTCTCTGTCAAATTTCTGTCTTTTCCTTACTGATTTGGAGGGTATATTTATACAGTAGGCACACCTTTCTCTTGTAAGCTACATGTTGCAAATATCTCCTGTGTGTCTATGACTCGTATTTTCATTCTTTTTGTATCTTTTAATGTGAGCTACTCAAAGTGATTCATCTTTTAACTTATATTTGAAGGTATATTTTTTTGTGCCTTGATGAGCTTAACATGAGAAATATACTCTCCGATATGTTCTTCTAAATTTAAAATTTTTTAAATTAATTTTTGTCTAAGGTGTGAGGTGGAGATCTAATATTTCCATTTGGATAATCAATTGTCCCAGTACCCTTTATTGAAAGGCCTGTTCTTTTTCATTCAAACTGGGTCTCCAGTTTGATGCAATAGGATCACATCTATTCCACCTACACTGCCTTCCATTATTAGAGTAGTTCAGACTCTTGGATGGAAATGCCAAAAGGAAAAGTGTAACATGAAGAAACTTAAAAACAATAAAGGAGGAAGGAAGGAAGGAATTGAGTCATGTAACCAAATGAAGGAAAAGACAGAGCTAGAGATATCTTCAGACAACCATATCTGTATACTTAAATATCATTTAGGCTCTTCCTCTCTATGTCTTTAATCTTTATTTTTATTTCTGTGTGATCAATATTATTCAGACCAGCTGTCCCTGTGAATCTGGAACTGATGGGGACAATTCTAGACATACAGCCTGCCTTGCAGAATTTTAGCCAAAAATGTAAAAGAGGCTTTTACTTACTGGATCAATTTAGAAAAAGATATTATTGGCTACCTTTGGAAGATGGTAGATGCTAGAAAGCCAACTCACAGTGTTAAACACAGAGGAAAAAAACCCAAGCGTTTATCCTGCCTTTCATTTATAACCTGTACCTCAACCAAAGAGTTGAGGAGGCGAAGTTTCTCCTCATACAATTACTACAACCAACACATAAAGAAGAAAACCTCCAAGTCTTGTCTGTGGCTACTGCATGCCCGCTTCATAGGGATAATAACAGAGGATGTGGTTTAGTTTCTTTCCACCCAGAAACTGTACGCACATGATAGACCATCCAGAGAAAAAGCAGAAGGGACATCAGATGGTCAGAATCAAAGGCATTTATTTTTCTGAAATCATACCCAACAGCAGCAGATCCAATCTAAAATTCATGCCTGCTAACTCCTAGACCAGAGGTCAACAAACTTCTTCTGAAAACGACCAGAAAGTAATATTTTCAGCTTTTGTGGGCTGTAGGGTCTCTGTCGAGACTACTCATCTCTGCTGTTGCAGCATGAAGGCAACCACAGCTGATATGTGAACAAATAGATATGGCTTTGTTCTAATAAAACTTTATTTACAAACACAACTGGTGGGCCGTAGTTTGCCAACCCCTGTCCAAACCAATGCTCTTTGAAATCTGAATGAATTGCCAGAATGAGAATTGAATTAAGCCGGGAAATATGTGTTCTAGAGTGCCAGGAAACACTTTTTTGCCCCTTTCTCAGTTTTTGGATCTGTAAAAGTGGGAAACCAACATCTCTTTGCAAACAGACCCAACTGGTTCTGCAGCTAGGATGGAGCCTGTTTCCTAGGAAGCATTGCAGCTTGCTGCTTTGCTTTTATAGCCTAAGTCACATCAAAAATACAGGGAAGGGGGCTGGCCTGGTGGTGTAGTGGTTAAGTTCATGCACTCCGCTTCGGTGGCCTGAGGTTCGCAGGTTCAGATCCTGGGCACAAACCTATGCACCACACAATATGCCATGCTGTGGTGGCGTCCCACATATAAAATAGAGGAAGATGAGCACAGATGTTAGTTCAGGGCCAATCTTCCTCAGCAAAAAAAAAAGGGGGGGGGGTACAGCAAAAGACACCATGTTGGGAAGGGGGTGAAGGGGCCAAGAGCAGAGAGGCCTTCTCAATCTCAGGGTCCTGGTCTGTCCCTGATTCTTTCACCTTCTTTATGTCTCCCCCAGGTGTATCTGTTTCTCTGCTCTACAAAGACTCTCTCTCTCCCTCCCTCTCTCTCTCTCACCCTCACAGACCATATTAGTCTCCTCTGACTACCACAATAAAATACCATAGACTGCGTGATTTAAACAGCAGACATTTATTTTCTCAGTTCTGGAGGCTTGAAATCCAAGATCAAGGTGCCAACCAATTCAGTTTCTGTTGAGAGCGCTCTTCCTGCCTTACAGATGGCTGCTTTCTCGCTGTGTCTTCACATGACCTTTCCTCCGCGCTCTCGAGGGGAGAAGAAAGCTCTCTGGTGTCTCTTCTCATAAGGACACTAATCCTATCGGATCAGGGCCCCATTCTTATGATCTCACTTAACCTTAATTACTTCCTCAGAGGCCCCATCTCTAAATACAGCCACGCAGTGTTTTAAGATTTCAACATAATGAATTGTGGGGGGACACATTGAGTCCATAACACACACACACACACACACACACTATTCTATGCAGATACCCAAAGAGAGAGCTACACAGAGCCTCTACACACACACAATCACACACCAACCCACACTCTTATGGGCCAAATTTTGTCCACCCCCAAAATTCATATGTTTAAGTCCTAACCCCCTAGTATCTCAGAATGTGGCCTAATTTGGAGATAGGGTCATTGCCAATGTAATTAGTTAAAAAGATGAGGTCATCTTTTTACCCTGGTGGGGTGGGCCCCTCACCCAATATGACAGGACATTTGGGCACAGAGACACACACACAGGGAGAACCCCATGTCAACATGAAGGCAGAGGTCGGAGGGATTTGTCTACAAGCCAAGAAACACCAACAACTGTCAGCGAAACACCAGAAGCCAGGAATGAGCCATAGAACCGCAGAAACCAACCCTGCCGACACCTTGATCTTGGACTTCTGGCCTCCAGAACTGCAAAAGAATAGATTTCTGCTGTTCAAGCTGCCCAGGCTGTGGTCTTTTGCTGTAGCAGCCTGAATGGATTAATACAGGGAGGTAGGGAGGCAGCAGGCAGCAAAGATCTGTATAAGCCACAGCTCCAAGCCCTCGCATATGCTCCATCGTCCCGTGGGAATTCATTAACAAAACAGATTGGAAGAGAAATGATTAAGAACTTCAAGATGGCGACCACAGAGCATTCAACCCAAAGCATGGGGTCCCATTCTGAGTGCGAGGTCCTGTTGGGACCAGTTGCATCCAGTCGGGACCAGGCTTGCATCCCAGCTTCAACCAGAAGCTCCCAGGAATGGTGCATCTGAGGGAGCATCCGCTTTGCTCCCCTCCCCTCACCACACAGTCCCTGGTTGACAAGGTGCTGAAGTCATATGGGGAGCAGCAGCGTGGAGGAGTATCTCTCTGTTCCTCCCGCTACAGAAGTCATTCGCTCTAAAACTTGGGAGCTCTTGGCGACCATCTGTCTCACCATGTGGAGGAAGCTGGTCTTTAATGAGAAACACAAAGATGACTCAGGGAGTATCCGAAAAGGAGACAGAGTGACAGTGCCTTCAGCTTTGGTTTTCCTGGTTCTAACTGCTTCCAAAACTCAGCATCCTTTCCCTCCTTGTAGCTTTCTTGTTCAATCATTCTTGGAACTCTCTGAACAACAGCAACAACAAAATACACAAAATACCTTTGAATCTAACCTAGTCCGAGAAGGGATTTTGTTTTGGTCAAACAGTCTTGACGAACCTCGTTAAAATCGATGACCCTAATAGAAAACATTTATGGACATCCACTCTGGTGTTCTTCCTCCTTTAATTGCCATAGTATGCCTGGTTTTTGTTTTTGTTTTTGTTTTTGTTTTTTTGCACACTTTTTTTTTTTTTTACATACAATAAGCTGTAGATATTTAATGTTGTAGGGGAAGAAAAATTTTTCCTTCTTCCCTTCTAGGTTCTTTGGCTGGTCTAATGATTAAATTGACATGAGACAGATGAAGAGGAGAAAAACAAATTTAATTTTGTACCTACAGGAGCCCCAACGATATGAGCCTCTCAGAAGTTACCAGAGCCAGAAGCTTTTATGCCTTGTAGACAAAGATATAGTAAATTTGTGAAGAATTGACAAGACAAAGAAGTTTGGGCTTAAGGTAGCTAATTAGTGAGGAAGTAATAAGGTTTGTTCATACAGCCTTCTTGGCCCTGAATTTCCATGTCCAGTGATAAGGATGTGTCTCTTTCTGCTGGTACAGGGAGGGTAAATTTCACATGGGAGATTTATTCCCTGTTTTCAAGGGGACAAAGGAGGGTCAGAGTGTGCTTCTTGTTTCTGCTGTTTCTTAAGTTACTTTAATTCAAAATAATGAATACACCAAAGTGGCATATTTTGAGGTGGGCTATTTTGCTCCCCCTTGATGTATACAACTTAATGTGTTTGCAGATAAGTACACATCCATGAAGCCAGCACCACAATCAATGCTTATGCCCACCGCCAAAAGTTTCCTCCTGCCCCCTTTCTTGTTTTGTTTTGTTTTGG